AGGCTCTGGCACTCATCGAGCTGTACAACGCTCCAGAGGGACGTTACAAGCAAGACGTTTACTTGCTTCCCAAAAAGATGGGTAAGGATTTAAATACTTAACCACTGCCTGTATTATTTACATGTTGAAAGCCTACAGGCATTATTTATGGACACCTGCAAGAATGGAGTGCATGAACTGACAGATTCACATCTTCTGTGTGTGCGCCCATTTCTTTCTTATTAAAGGATGTCTTTGTTTTTCAGATGAATATGTTGCGAGTCTGCATCTGGCCACGTTTGATGCCCACCTGACAGAGCTTAGTGACGAGCAGGCAAAATACCTGGGTCTGAATAAGAACGGCCCTTTTAAACCCAATTACTACAGGTACACTTTTACACATTTTAAAATTTTAAAATAGGGAAATATTTTGAAACTTATATTAACTTATTGTTATTGCACTAGATTGTTTGCCAACACAAACAATTTTTAAGAATTGTGTTGCATTCACATTATCTGTTTTTGTTGTTGTTATTCACAGGTATTAGTCTGTCTCACCTGAGAACAACAGCATGTGGATGGTTCCTGATTAGTACCCGACCTCCAGGCAAAAAAAAAAAGATTTGTGTATTGTATTTTTTACCCTTCATGGGACACATAGCTCTTATACTCGTATTTTAGTGACTGTAGAAAGTTTTGCTGCTTTACCAATGGCACCCAAGCTGGCTATGAAAAGTGAAGCGTATGCACTCAGCTCATGTGAGATAACACATGCAAAAAAAATAAAATATGATTTTTTGTTTTTTATTGCATGTGTTTCCATTCTGAAAGCTGTTGAGTATATCAGCATATTGTGCCAAATGACTGTGAGAGGAGGGTTGTGGTTGTTCAAAAATATTAGTTGTTAAACATGTTAAACCCACACGAAGCACTATTTTTGTATAATCATTCCCTCCATGTACTGCAAAGCAGTCACTTAAAATGCCAAACCCAGGAATCTCAGGAGCTTACTGTGCTTTTTATGCACTTTTAGCTCCTTGTTTTGGCATTCTCATCAATATTGTGCTTAAAACTGTTTGCAGTCTTTTCCTTAAAAACAGACAAGCCAACAATTGCAAAAAAAAAAAGTGACATGATTTAAACTCCTGGTGGTTGTTGTTGTTTTTTTTTTTTGTTGTTGTTTTTTTTAATTTCTTCTCTCAGGAGTAGGTGGACCAAATCGGAGTTGAAAGGCCAGTCGATATGAGACTTAATGTTACTTTTAAACTAGCCAGTGATTTGGCATTAATCGGATGTCAAATCAGTTTTTCCTGTGTATCTGCTGAGTAGGCAATCGTTTGCTTACAGATGAGCCATAATAACCTGATGAGCTGACTGTAAATCAAAGTTTTGTTCCTCTGAGTATTTTTACTGTCCAGTGGTCAGAAATTGCTCTGTGCTGCTTTAAACGTTTCTTCCTGCTTTGATATTAAAGCACCTTAATCACCTTATACGTTCCATACACAAGATACACTCCTGTTGTAGTATCCTCACAATTAGTGCTAACCTTGACTGGGTATAACAGAAACATAAGCGCTTGTTGAGCATAGCAAATGTAAGAGCTTGTCATTTTTTTTTTTTTTTCTTGAAAAAGAATTTGTCCATTTATGAGGTTTTGGTGTCTGGTGAGAGTTATATCTGTACCTCAGGGCATTCAAATATCTCTAATTATTTGTAAATATATGTCAATGCATCTGCACTATCTAATCTTAGTATTCATGTGTAATCTGTTGGTTTGAATTGAATATTTACAGCACCTCTGTAAATTAGAGGGATATAATCGTGTCTGTGATCCGTGTCATTTGTCAGGTTTAGCTGTTGAGAGTAAATTGAAATTGGCGGCTATGTAAAGCTAGCTGAGCATTGTTACATACAACACATTTATACTGTACATACAGCAGTGTCTGATGAGCTGCTCTCACAATGCCGTGTTTTGTTAGATTTGTCTCAGGACTCTGTTAAAGAACGCTAACAACGGAAAAGTAACTGTCATTTCCTAAATGCTCTGGGACTAGACACGGATGAGCTTTGTTGTATTAGCTTTACCTCCCGTTATCTTGTGGTATTGTAGTTATTCTAATCCAACACAGTATGTGTGTTTCCAGAAGATTATGATCATTTTAAAGGCTTACGCACTGTGAGGCGTAAACGCTTGTGAGGCTTGTTAAATGCAAAGTCACATTTTACTCTGTTATATTCACATGTGATATTTTTTTTTTAAACAGTGGGCACTTTGGATGACTGAGTTGAGCAACTCATTTTATGTCTAAACTAGGTATTACACAGATAGTTGTATCTTGTTTAACTTGCAGCTCTTCAACACATTTCATTGTGCTGTATGAGAGGATGGTCGCTTTACAGTTGACAGCACTGTTCCTCTCAAGTGTTTGACACCTTGTTACCATTTTTAAAATAACGCGCCACATGACTGAGGATCCTGTTTCATCACCGCACTAAGCTTAAACCTGAATTTATAGAAACTGCGTAATTCATTTGTGCAGTAATTTTCAATTTGAAATGAACAGGTTGTGCCCCCCCCCCCCCCCCCCCAGTTACTCCTGTTGTTTATTGAATAGTAGCCTACAGTGTGCTACTGCTAAGTGCTTTTCATCTTTGCACTAACAGCTTTAAGGGCATTACAGCCAAGGAGGACATCATTTTCAGTAAAAGGAGTGCTGCAACCATGGTTACTGATCAGTTGACAGTGCCTTGTAACTCACTTAGTAATTTATATTCACATGGACCGTCTGTGCGTTTTTCTTTTTATCCATGTTATTGCCCGTCACAGTTATTACCCTGCAATATACAGTTATAGCTATGCAGCAAAGAATCCTCAGCCTTTCTTCTGTAAAAATCTGTGTTTCACAAATTCCATAAAAGGTATGCTAATAATTACTGTAAACAGTTTGAATAAGCAGCATTTTACATTCTGATATTTACCTTTTACATTTATTGTGATGGGTTGTTTTTTTTTAATTTTTTTTTTTTTTACCTTCTCTATGTTAGTTCTTGTAATAATGGCACATTTACTTTCATAATGGCACTCGGAAAATGCTTCGCTTTATAACTAATAGTGACAGTCACTTTAACCTAGTTGTTCCTCTGTTATAGAGACAAATGAATGTTATATTACTGGCACAAACAGCTTGACTTTTGTTAAATTGAAGTTAATCAGTATACCACTGTGATTTGGAAGCTGTACATTGTTACATTTGAATACAAGGTTGTCTACATTATATAGTACCTATAATGTTTGCTTATTTTTCAACTTTGTTTCTAGTTTGTTTTCATAATGTCAACTGAATACAGCTTGTTAAATTTCTCTTCACTTTCTCCTTTAATAAACTCCAGTTTAAATTTGAAAATGGCTCAGAAACATCATTTTCCTGCAGACAGACAATTTGCTTTACACAATTTGATTCCATTTAATTTATATAGCACCAAATCAAAACAACGGTTGTCTCAAGGTGCTTTATATTGTAAGGTAATGACTCTACAAAGAAAATAGAAAACACCAAAAATCCTATGGCCGCCTAGGAGCAAGCACTTTGGTGACAGTGGGAAGGAAAACTCCCTTTTAATAGGAAGAAACCTCCAGTAGAACCAGGCTTAGGGAGGGGTGACCATCTGCTGCAACACGGGGAGGAAGACGGGACAAAAACATGCTGTGGAGAGCCAGAAATTAATACTAATAATTAAATGCAGAGAAGCATATAAACGCATAGTGAGTGTTTATTCACTTACTAAGGCCATAGGCAAAAATATGTGGGTAACTGTGACAGCGAGTCAAATGGAACAATAATTTTTTTGTGTTCATTTCACTCAGCATAATCTTTTTTGGGCATATGTATCCCTAACTGGGGTGACTATGCCAGGTGGGAGAGCAGGTCATTTCTAATTGCAAGGTTGGTCCAGCCTGCATACCAAACATCCCTGAGCAAGATACTAAGCCCAAGTTACTTCTGATGCATCCATTAAAGTATAAATGTGTGTGCATGTTGGACAGGAAGCACTTACCTAGAAAGAGCATAGGGAAAAAAGTGCTTGTATGAATGGGTGAGATAAACGCAGAATAAGAACTAGTCCATTTTACCATTGAAAAATAATGTAATTATGATGGTTACAGTTGTGATTAGAAATTTACATCTACTCATCATGGGCATGAATGACGCAGCAATTTGGGGCTTTTAATGATATCCTGTGAACAAGCCTATGATTGTAGAGAATACATCTTTAATGGCTTTACAAAAACAAAAACTGGTAGCACAAGCTTGGGATTTTCTCTAATCCACGCAGGGTCAAAATATTATCGTCCCGTAGTAAGTTGCACTTCGACGCTTTCGGCAGATATAAACAAGCTTCTGACATAATTCTGGCTGAATATTTGACCACTCTTGGCAGAAATGTAGACTTCATTTAAATTGGTTGGTTTCCTAGCTCTTAAGTTAGCAAGAGCCAGGAAACAGGATTGAGCTCGGGGCTTTGGGAAGTCCCTTCTAGAAGCTATCCCCCCCAGTTCAAATAAATAATTTAAAACAAAAAAATTACCATCACATGCATGCACCGTGATAAGTGAATGCAAACATCTGTCCACAACTTCATCCATAATTTACAATGAATGCGAATTATATATTTTCTTTAATTAAAACTGTTTTGGAGGATTTTAAACATCTTTAGATGTTTATCCATCACGTAGAAGAGAAGTTTCTGAGTAATCCCGCATTAATTGTACAGTAGCTACGGCAGATCCTAAATACAGAAGCGGAGCTGTAAACTTTCTTCATCCTGAATGAGTCCTGCAGCAGATGTCAGGCTCTGCTCCGACTTCTGATCTCATCATCATAGCGTCAGTTCGGGATTGAGGCCTGAAGAGGCAGAGAAAAATTCATTTCAAAAATAATTCTACACAACCACACCTCGGGCCGCTGCTGCGGACCTTCGGACAAGATTCTGCGGATGCGCTGACGCGAGTCCGACAGTCACGTTCCATTTCTCATCTCGCGAGAGTTCACTGCGCCCCCAAAAATTATGGACGTCGGTGGAAACGGTAGTGGGCTACCTGTAAACAATAAGCAGAGAGCTATGCTACCTAACAAAACCAGGGGCGAATTTACCCGCAATCAAAGAAAAGATTCAGAGGTACGTATCCAGATGTTTATGGTTGATTTCCAGCGTGTATTTTTTTTAGCTAAAGAGACGAGGCCTTTCCTGCTGCTAGTGTAAAGTTAGCTAGCTCTGTCATTGTAGCACAATTAGTATTTCTAACATGATTCGGGAGTTAAGAGCAGCAAACGACCTTCATTACGGTGTTTGTACGTGTACCTAGCTGTACGGTGTTCCGTTTGTTTTCCGGTGTTAACACATTGAAAAGCGAGCAGGAGACAGCTAGCTGACGTTAGCCGGCTACAGGCCAGGTTTGTGTATGTGTCAGAAACCTAAGGACCTGTTGAAAACTGATTGTTTAGGTCCTGGTTAACGCATTTAATCTTTCTAATGCGACAGTCGGCTATTACAGTGTAATTTTACTGTATATATGCAAAATTGGTCACCCATTTGTGTGACGTTTAAAGAAAACAAGCTGAGTGTTTCCGTGTAGTGGTTTAAATAGCCACTGGAGACAGTCATGGTAGCACTGATTCCCTGTCTGTCTTGAAGAGGTGTATTATATCCAGTCTTTTCTTAAAAGTAGGCTCACAGCGGCAATAGTAAATCCTCCTGTGTTTAGTTGTAATGCTTCATGATGGCAGCTTCAGTGTGTTACTGTTACTTTCAGTGTTGCAGCTGGTACACATGATATTGTTTATTGATTCATAAACTTTATATTACAAATCAGAGACTACATTAACTAGTCTGAAATGTAAATTATAGAATAAGAGATTAGAGTTGTCAGTAACAAATGCTCAAATACAAGTTTATTACTACTACTATTGGTACACTCTTATAACAAACAGTGCCCAAAGCGGTTTATGTAACCAAAATATAGTGAGGTGTTAAAGTAACGGACATCAGCTGTGCACGGTGTTTATGGACAACTGAAAATATAATTGACTGAGTGTGACAGAACTAAGTAACCCAACAAACCAACAGTGTCATGATGAAACTTTCCAAAGAGAGTAAGCAGACTGAAAGTGGAGGTTTTATAACCTTTACCACTCCCACCACTCAGGTGCACCCAGTCTTAAACAGGACATAGTGCTATTACAGCAGTGTTTGATTGCATCTTATTTTTTACTTTGTGCTCCTGAACTACTTCGAACTGTATTGCTTGTTGTTGCCAACTGGATGTTTTTATACCTTTATACCTTATACCGTGCTTTATAGGCACGTATAAAGTGGATAACATGCCTGATTAAAAAAAAAATATATATATATGTTAAAAGATGTAAGCTTTGTTAGAGAGTAGCTGCCAGCACAGAGGAGTGTTTCACCTGTAGCTAAATACTAAAATGTGGTGAAATGCAGCTAAATGCATTGATTCAAGTACTCTACAAAGGAAGATCATAGTGATTATGATGCACTGCTGTAGATAAAACAACCCAACAAAAATGTATAAGCTCAACCTCAAACAGTGTTATCAGCAGTAAAAAGCCTCAAAAGACATTAATGCGGGAGAAATATTAATCCAACAGTAAAATACTAACGGGGAACATTTTTTACTACACACTTGAAGTACAACTTGCTGGCTTACATGTGTTAACGTAAGTGGGCTTTTAATCCAGAAGGTTTCCTAGTCAAATTTATTTTTTGATATTGTAAATTATCAAAATGCTACTTCCACCACTTTCTCTTAGCGAGAGTCACTTGGACATTTTGGTGCTTTGACTCTTGATGATGTTGTTGCTGTTGTTATGGAGAGTTTTGGAAAGGAAATTAAACACTTCTAACTAAATACCTCCACTTATTAAATGAGAAAACCATTTTTTATGTGCTTGTGTGTAGAGTTTGGGTAATGTGACTTCTTAACATCAGTCGGATGTGATTAAATTGGATTAATTACATTTTTTTTTCTTCTTTCTATCTAGTAGCTCTCTTTCTAACCTCTGCGGTGTGTTGTGCACAGGGGCAGTCTGAGTTTCCAGATCTGGAGTTTGAATATTCGGACACAGATAAGTGGGCTGCAGAGCTGTCAGGTACGTGTGTGTAAGTGTGTGTGTGTGTGTGTCACACTTTAACAACCTGTAACCACCTAATAATGTGTTCATATTACTTATGAACTCTTCATGTGTCTTGCAGAGCTTTACAGTTATACTGAAGGACCAGAGTTCGCTCTTAATAGGAAGTGCTTTGAAGAGGAATTCAGAGTTCATGGTAAGCACTCAGAATATACATACACAGCCATACAAATAAAAGATGAAGCAAGTATGCATCGTAGTTTATTTTCTTCACCTCTGCTGTGCCTTAGTGTCTGATAAGAAGTGGACAGAGCTCGATGAAGCTCAGCACAGAGCTCACGCTATGCGCCTGTTGGACAGTCTTGAAGTCACTGCCCGGGAGAAGAGGCTGAAGGTTGCTAGAGCCATTCTCTACATGGCTCAGGGTCAGTCCATCACACATTTCCATGATTTCAAGTTAACTAGAAAATAGTTTGTCTTCATGTACTTAATGTACTGTCTTCTTTTTTCCTGTTTTTAGGGACCTTTGCTGAGTGCAGCTCTGAGGTGGAGGTACAGCACTGGATGAGATACAACATATTTCTGCTGCTCGATGTGGGGACCTTCTCTGCTCTGGTGGAACTACTCAACATGGAGATTGAGTATGCTCTCCATCAATTTTTTTAGCCTTGTAGAAGTAAATGCCAATTAAAACAAAACAAAAAACAAAGAAGCCATTTTTCCTACCACATAGCTTTCTGGAAGCATTTATTGATGTCCAAAGGTGCCATAAATCAGTCAGGATGCAATTTTACTTTAAATTTAGGACGGGGGAAACACATTATTTGTCTGTTGGTTTTTTTGTTTGTTTGTTTTTATTGTTTTTGTTTTTTTAAACTAATGAATTCACTCAGAATAAAAAAGAAGAATCACTGGTTGTCTGTGGTAGACTTCAGGTTAACAGCTTCCTGGTGTGCTGTCTGTGTTTCAGTAACAGTGCTGCCTGCAGCAGCGCTGTCAGGAAACCAGCCATCTCCCTGGCTGACAGCACAGATCTCAGGGTGCTGCTTAACATCATGTACATGATGGTGGAAACCATCCAACAGGACGACCCAGCCGACAAGCCCGAATGGATAACCATCAAGGAGACCTTCAGGACAGAACTGGGTAAATTTCATCAGAGTAGTTGAAGACTCATTGAGGTTATGTGCAGAATCAGCCTTGTAAATGAACCTGCTTCTCTGATCCAGGATCTCCTCTCTTCAACAACGAGCCCATTTCCGTTATGCTCTTTGGTATGGTTACCAAATTCTGCAGCGGTCATGCGCCTCACTTCCCCATGAAGAAAGTTTTGTTGCTGTTGTGGAAGAGCATACTGGTGAGAGACTCAAACATCAGCCTTTCACAGAGATACTGATATCCCAAAGAGTTTATCTCCATTTTCCTCCTAAATCCCATCTTATCTTCCAAAAACCTTCCTGTCTTCTGTTTCAGTTCACACTCGGAGGGTTTGAGCGGCTGCAGAGCATAAAGGTCCGTAAGAGAGAGGAACTGGGTCTCCCTCCTCTCCCGGAGGACAGCATCCGAGTCATTCGCAGCATGAGAGCGGCTTCTCCTCCTGCATCTGCATCTGACCTCATTGAGCAGCAACAAAAGCGGGCACGTCGTGAACACAAGGTAGTTATAGCTGCTACCATCAGGTTAAAGCCAGCTATAAGCAAAACACCTCAAAGTGAACAGCAGTGCTCTCACAAACTTGTATTGGTGTGTACGATGGACTGTGTGCAGCAGCACACACTTTACAGCACCCATTCCCTCTTTGTGCAAACAAAACTGACAAATCCAGGAACGCGAGCATGAGCGAGGAAAAGATGACTGCAGTCCAAAAACAGCTAAATAAAGACATTATTATAATTAATAATAATAATGATGATGTTTTTTTAGAGCACCAGCTTGCATTATTGTTTCATTTAGATGACGAGCCTTCTGCTTACAATGTATTCATGCAATAATTTCTCTGCATTCAGTGGCTTCACAGATGTAATACTTGAGTAATTTTAGTATTTGCTTCAGTCTAGTTGTAATTATCTTGTAACTCAAACACAGGCGCTGATAAAACAGGATAACCTTGATGCATTCAATGAAAAGGATCCTTACAAGGCGGATGACTCACGAGAAGATGAAGATGACAATGATGACAATGATAACTCTATAGAAGCAGAAACTTTCCCTCTAGAGCGGGACGAGGTGATGCCTCCACCTATTCCTCATCCTCCATCGGAGAGGGTGTCCTTCCCAAAAGGTCTGCCGTGGGCTCCTAAAGTCAGGTACTGCTCAGTCTCACCAAACAGCAATGCTGAACTGTAACGATGTTAGTTCCTCCTTTATATCCACAAATATACAATTAAGACTTTTTTTGTTATTGATGTTACTGTTTTTGCTCCAACAGGGAAAAAGATATTGAAAACTTCCTAGAATCAAGTAGAAGTAAATTCATTGGTTACACTCTTGGAAGGTAGTGTTTTCTTCATTTTTTTAAGAGATGACAGTTAGCTTTTGTGCAGAAATATTGACATGTTAAGAACTGTTTATTTTGTGCACACATTACAGTGATACAGATACAGTGGTTGGATTACCCAGGCCAATTCACGAGAGCATCAAGACCTTAAAGCAGGTATTGCAGTATTTTGCACTGTACTTTATTAGGGATATTGAAGCATGGCTTAATTTCACACACCTGAAGTGTTCCTGAACCTTAATTTATTAAATGCTATCTTATTTTTCAGCACAAGTATGTCTCTATAGCTGAACTACAGATCATAAAGGAGGAGGAATTTCAGAAAACCCCTCTTTCTGGCGTAAGTATAAACAGATACAGTTTTATTAAAAGGAGATCTGTCGTGGTACCTCTCATTAGACTTCATTAAGGTTGGTTGGCATGGTTACTCAGTTCAGAATAATCCTTTTTTATCATATAATGGGCCTTGGTGCAGCCTCTTAGTTCATCTTCTATCTGAAACACAACTTTGTTCATTCATATCGTACACATCCAGCAGCAGAAACAAATTGCCTGATGCCTGTCTGAAGCCTTTGCACATACACTGACCTCATAATTTTAAACTCTGGCCATGCAGAAATTATTCTCACAGTGAAAGCATAATAGGTCCATTTTAATTATTCAGTTAAAGAAAAACACACAAAGTAAATTCTTTAACTCGACGTCTCTTGTTTTGTGTTTTTCTTCTTTCTTGTCGTCAGGGTGAAGAGGAAGTGGAGACGTGTGCCACCGAGCTGCTTTATCATGGGATTCTGCCCAGTTTGCCTCAATACATGGTTAGTATTGTATGGTTTATATTGTGCTACTGTGGGATTACTCATACTACAGCTGTGGTAGAGTAAAAAGGCTTTAAAACCTGTAATTCTGTGTGAAAGCAACAACAGAGCAGGGTCTGCTCAGGGATGGCGATAAAGATTATTGCACAAATACTCTATTGCAGCACTTGTGTAAAGTGTTGTGTCACAGATCAGTGGTGTGCTGTTAGTTATACTAAAGCATTTAGTTAGATTTTACAAATTATACGCCGGATACATTTGAAGTACATAAATAAAACTCCAAGATTTAGAAACCTCAGTGTTGGCAGGCTGGATTTAAAGTGTTTAAATCACTCCATCATGCTTGGTCTCTCTGTAGATTGCTCTGCTGAAGATCCTGCTCGCTGCTGCTCCGACATCCAAAGCTAAAACCGACTCCATTAACATCCTGGCAGACGTGCTGCCGGAGGAGATGCCGTAAGTGCCTTGAGCCTGCCAGTTTCTTATCCACTGTGCCATTATGTGATAAAGAGGGAACATATGCTAACCGAGAGACATTTCCATTATCTAATGTACTCACATTTCAGGGTGAGTACAGGTTTTCAGGTCATGCGCACTTGTACATACAGAGCTGGAACTGGTTTGGTTTTTTTTTTAAACAAGGAGATGTGGTTTATGGGCAGGTTATTTTACCTGAGCATGTTTGAGAACAGTAGACTCTAAGATTGCTACGTTCTGATTTACAGGCAGGTGCTAGTTTTTACCTGCGAGCAGAACAGACTGAGGGTTATCTGATCTGATCTCTTCTGTCTGACCCTGCAGGACCACAGTGCTGCAAAGCATGAAACTTGGTGTTGATGTGAATCGGCACAAAGAGATCATTGTGAAAGCCATCTCTGCAATTCTGCTGCTTCTCCTGAAACACTTCAAACTCAACCACATCTACCAGGTGCGCACGCCACACGCCTGTTTAACGTTGCACATTGTTATTATTCCAGTTTAAATTATAATTTTGAGTCACATCAAATATCAAAACATGGTAATAGAGATAAAACAGATTCACTCCCCTTCACGCTGCAGCAGGTTTAGTTTAACTCACGTTTATTTACAGTGGGGCAAAAAAGTATTTAGTCAGCCACCGATTGTGCAAGTTCCCCCACTTAAAATGATGACAGAGGTCAGTAATTTGCACCAGAGGTACACTTCAACTGTGAGAGACAGAATGTGAAAAAAAAATCCATGAATCCACATGGTAGGATTTGTAAAGAATTTATTCGTAAATTAGGGTGGAAAATAAGTATTTGGTCACCTCAAACAAGGAAAATCTCTGGCTCTCACAGACCTGTAACGTCTTCTGTAAGAAGCTTTTCTGTCCCCCACTCGTTACCTGTATGAATGGCACCTGTTTGAACTCATCATCTGTAGTAAAAGACACCTGTCCACAGCCTCAAACAGTCAGACTCCAAACTCCGCCATGGCCAAGACCAAAGAGCTTTCGAAGGACACCAGGAAAAGTATTGTAGACCTGCACCAGACTGGGAAGAGTGAATCTACAATAGGCAAGCAGCTTGGTGTGAAAAGAATCAACTGTGGGAGCAATCATCAGAAAATGGAAGACATACAAGACCACTGATAATCTCCCTCGATCTGGGACTCCACGCAAGATCTCATCCCGTGGGGTCAAAATGATCATGAGAACGGTGAGCAAAGATCCCAGAACCACACGGGGGGACCTGGTGAATGACCTGCAGAGAGCTGGGACCAAAGTAACAAAGGTCACCATCAGTAACACACTACAACGGCAGGGAATCAAATCCCGCAGTGCCAGACGTGTTCCGCTGCTGAAGCCAGTGCATGTCCAGGCCCGTCTGAAGTTTGCCAGAGAGCACATGGATGATACAGCAGAGGATTGGGAGAATGTCATGTGGTCAGATGAAACCAAAGTAGAACTTTTTGGTATAAACTCAACTCGTCGTGTTTGGAGGAAGAAGAATACTGAGTTGCATCCCAAGAACACCATACCTACTGTGAAGCATGGGGGTGGAAACATCATGCTATGGGGCTGTTTTTCTGCCAAGGGGACAGGACGACTGATCCGTGTTAAGGACAGAATGAATGGGGCCATGTATCGTGAGATTTTGAGCCAAAACCTCCTTCCATCAGTGAGAACTTTGAAGATGAAACGAGGCTGGGTCTTCCAACATGACAATGATCCAAAACACACCGCCCGGGCAACAAAGGAGTGGCTCCGTAAGAAGCATTTGAAAGTCCTGGAGTGGCCTAGCCAGTCTCCAGACCTCAACCCCATAGAAAATCTGTGGCGGGAGTTGAAAGTCCGTGTTGCTCGGCGACAGCCCCAAAACATCACTGCTCTCGAGAAGATCTGCATGGAGGAATGGGCCAAAATACCAGCTACTGTGTGTGCAAACCTGGTAAAGACCTATAGTAAACGTTTGACCTCTGTTATTGCCAACAAAGGTTATGTTACAAAGTATTGAGTTGTATTTTTGTTATTGACCAAATACTTATTTTCCACCCTGATTTACGAATAAATTCTTTACAAATCCTACCATGTGGATTCATGGATTTTTTTTTCACATTCTGTCTCTCACAGTTGAAGTGTACCTCTGGTGCAAATTACTGACCTCTGTCATCATTTTAGGTGGGGGAACTTGCACAATCGGTGGCTGACTAAATACTTTTTTGCCCCACTGTATTTACAGCCTTGATTCAAAAAAAGTGACCAAAAATTTTTTGCACGTCTCTTAAACTAAATTCTGTCCACTGTAGAAAACAGAAAACATATCAAATGTTTAAACTGAGACATTTTACTTGTGCATGAAAAGTATTAGTGGACACACTAAGAAAAGTCTAGAAAAGTAGGAAAGCAGAAACTGCTGGAGGTACATTTTACAACTAATTAGGTTAACTGACAACAGGTCATCAATGTGATTGGGTATAAAAACAGCATCTTAGAGAGGCAGAGTTTATCAGAAGTAAAGATGGGCAGAGGTTAACCAATCTGCAAAAAACTGCATCTACAAATTGTGGAAAAAGTTCAGAATAATGTTCTTCAACATAAAACTGTGAAGACCAGGGCTATCTCATCATCTACAGTACACAATATCCAAAGATTCAGACCATCTGGAGAAATCTCTGTGCGCAAGGGATGAGGCTGATAGTCAGTACTGGATGGCTGTGATCTTCGGGTCCTCAGGCATCGCTGCATTAAAAGCAGCCATGATGCTGTCAAGGAAACCTCATGGGCTCAGGAGCACATCCAGAAATTGTTGTCTGTAAACAGAGTTCACGGTGCCATCTGAAAATCTAGGTTGAAGCCTGATCAGGCAAAAATGAAGCCATAAGTGGACATGATCCAGAAACACTGCTGTCTTCTCCGGTGCTGGCTTCTTTAGATTGACATATGCTCCACGTCTGTTTCATGGAAGGAAAACTAAGACGCTAAACTGCAAACTGCAGCTATTAAAACTTCTATTAAAACTATGAAATTAAAATTCATAGTAGAAGAGTCTGGGTGCTGAACTGACCTGCCTGCAGTCCAGAATATTTACCAACTAAAAAACTCAAAAACAAAAGATACCACAAAAAAGACCCAGGACGGCTGAGCAGGTAGAGTCATTTCCTCTCCCAAAAGTCCAGCAGCTGTTCTCCTCAGTTCCTCCTATCAAATTCAAAACAAGCTAATAATTTTCCTAAAATGGTACATTTATTGTCAGTTTAAACGTTTGATATGCTTTCTGTGTTCTGAATAAAATCTGGGCTTATGAGGTTTTTGGGTCATTGCATTCTGTTTTTATTACGTTTTAAAACAGGGAATTGGGTTAAAAAATAGTCTTTAAAATCCACTTAAATATAAAAGGCGAGTTTCTTCTTTTCTTAAACTTAAATAAATCCTAGATTATTTTCAGAGTTGAACAGTTGTTGTGTTAATCGTGAGTTCAGTAGTAACCAAAATACAAACTACATACACGTACTGATATAAAAACGAATCCTTGTGTAACTGCTGTCCCTCTGTGTGTGTGGTTGGTGTTCATAGTTTGAGTACATGGCTCAGCACTTGGTGTTTGCCAACTGCATCCCCCTCATTCTCAAGTTCTTCAACCAGAACATCATGTCTTACATCACAGCTAAGAACAGGTACTTTCAGTGTGGCGTTACATAACAGAGTCATGATTCCTGTTTGCAGTGCGCATCAATAAACTAAATGTACATGGCTCTGTATTTCACTGCATTGACTTTACTTTTTTCTTCCTCAAAGCATTTCAGTACTCGACTTTCCGTACTGTGTGGTGCACGAGCTCCCAGAGTTAACCGCAGAGAGTTTGGTAATTTTACCCCCCTTGTTTCTGTTGTTTTGTTGTTGTTGACACGTGACTGTAGGATTTGGATGTTTACTGTGGACGATTTCTTTGTTACAGGAAGCGGGAGACAACAATCAGTTTTGCTGGAGGAATCTGTTTTCCTGTATTAACCTGCTGAGGATCCTCAACAAACTGACCAAATGGAAGCACTCCAGAACAATGGTGAGAGGACGTCACGTCACATTTGCTGTGACACACGAATCACGTATGAAAAGACAGGATATAACTCTCTGCTTTGATTCTTTTTTTTTTTCCTTGACATTTTCTGCCAGATGCTGGTCGTGTTTAAGTCGGCACCCATCCTGAAAAGGGCGCTGAAGGTCAAGCAGGCAATGATGCAGCTGTATGTCCTCAAGCTGCTCAAAGTGCAAACAAAATACCTCGGACGTCAGTGGAGGAAGAGCAACATGAAGACCATGTCTGCCATCTACCAGAAGGTCCGACATCGCCTGAATGACGACTGGGCGTACGGAAACGGTGAGAGGAAAATCTGAACAGCTTTCGTGCAGAATATACAACACTACACACAAACATAGGACAGCATTATTCAAGTATCATTCTAGAAAAAGTGGGGAGCAGGTGATATTTGAACACCATAAAATCCTTTTTGTATTCAGAGAACCAGTCAAACCTGGAAGCTCTTCTGCATACCTTGGCTGTCATGAGGGGTTACTTGAGTCACTGTTGCCTTTCTATGAGCTCAAAGAAGTCTGGCCATTCTTCTTTGACCTCTGACCTCTAAGAGAACTGCTGCTCACTGGAGATTTTCTCTTTTTTTTTTGGACCATTCTCTGTAAACCCTGCCACGTGATTGGCTGATTAGATGTGTGTTAACGAGCTGTTAGACAGCAAATAAAGTGGCCGGTGAGTGTGCATTTAATAAATGTCATGAGTTGGGAAAAGTGCCGCAGACTGACTGAGGTGAGACAGCTGGTGTGTGAGTGAAAGATGAGCTGCACATTCAAAGTGTTTCGTGTTTCTCAGACCAGTCGTCTGTTCGCTGCATGAATGTTTCATGTGTTTGTCGCCTTTTTGAGACAAACCTGCTGTTTTGTTTTTATGTCCTAATGGAGATCAGGATTTGTGGGCTGCTGCAGATTGCTGTTACGCTCAGAGCAGACAAAATCCACTAACTTCCAGTTACTGTTTGTTTTGTGTGAGCAGATCTGGACGCTCGTCCGTGGGACTTCCAGGCCGAGGAGTGCGCTCTACGAGCCAACATCGAGCGCTTCAACAGCCGCCGCTACGACAAGAGCCACAGCAATCCCGACTTCCTGCCTGTGGACAACTGTCTGCAAAGTGTTCTGGGCCAACGAGTGGACCTGCCCGAGGACTTCCAAATGAACTATGACCTTTGGCTGGAGAGGGAAGTCTTCTCCAAACCTATTTCCTGGGAAGAACTGCTACAGTGAGACTCGACCACCGTCAACATTCTTGTAGTTTATTCTTGTTTTTTTTGTTTTGTTTTTTAAACAGTTTCAGTCAGGTGTTCAGATGAAGCACCACCAGTGCTCTCACTGATCAACAGAACTCTTCTCTGAACAGAACAGTATGCTACACATTCTGTATAGACTGAAGGTGACGGATGGATTTTATTCTCAGTTTCCAGCATGGAGGAGTGTTGTCGGGGGTCCTGCTAAATGCTTTTGGTGTTTGAACTTTTGCCTTTTGAGAAATTTTGCATTGTTATGATTTCTGTGTAGTTTTTAGCCAAAAAAAGATCATCCTTTTGTACTTAGGTTCTCTGAGACTTCTCTTGCCTCGTTCCCAGTTTTTTAATGAAATAGCTGATAATGACCTCAGTGCTAAAACTCCATTTGCGGACTTGAACTCTGCTCCTTCTTTACATTACAGATATTTCCTCTGTGTGCCTCTTACCTGCTACTGTAGGTTCGCAACTCACCAGGAAGCACTACATGACCACACTTTCACTTTTAAGTTTAAATAGAGTATTCATTTTAGGTATTACGTGTTAGGCCAGGCTCAGCACAGTGAATACATGAATAAAACATTCCTCGTTCCATCTCACGAGTTCTTCATCTTCAGAGAGACGGAAGGCAAGGTCAGGATTTCTTTATGTACACTCATGATAGTCGGATCATTGCTCCTTTAACAGTTGGACCTTTTTGTTGCCCTGCTGGATTTTCAGGATGATATCATATCTGTTTTGCCTGACTAAGTGCTTTTGCTCTGGGACCATCAATGAGGCTGAATGGACATTAAAATCCCAGTCTAGACAAAAAACAAACAAGAAGCTCGTCAGCATCTTCGTCTTCTTTGCTGTGCACACACCTGCGCTGTGTGTGTCGGATCTTGTGAAAGAAAAGAGTGTTTCTGGTCTCATAAATGTGGTTCTTGTTGCCAGACGGCTGTTTTTGAACAGAAGGGTACAACTGAATTTAAATTGCCAGTTACAGAACTGTTATACTTCTACATCTTTTTCAGATATGACTTTCTTTGTTTTATTTAAACATTCAGGAAATGAAAGTACATGTAAATTACAAAGCTTATTTATCACTGCTTTTCTTTGTTTTATGTTTACCTAAATACTGTAATAAAGACATTCATGTTGGATTTATTTGTCCTTTCTGAAGGTTGTTGTTTACATTTGTCTGGTCTTTGAGATTCAAACAGCCAGTGTGGAGGAGACACAGACTCCGCCTTCCTTTTTACAAGAATTTCAAAAGTTTTAGTCACTCCCACACACAAACACACACTTGTGAGTCATTTGTGCAGGAAACGAAACGAAACTTGTGACAGCCCGCCTTTTTACCACAGAGACATGGCGGAGCGTAACATTCCTGTGAAGATGAACCACCTCTGCTGTCAAATTTGCAGAAACCTTCTCAGGAATCCTGTGATGATTCCTTGCGGACACAACTTTTGCATGCGCTGCATCCAGGACCAATGGGATTGCGACCAGCTGAGGAACAGTCTCTGCAGGTGCCCCGAATGTAAATATGAGTTTCCATCCAGACCTCAGCTGATCAAGAACACAACTCTAGCTGAGGTGGTGAGAGAGACAGAAATGAGTTGTAATAAAGAGCAGCAGTCCTCAGAAGGGAATCGGAGAGTCCTGAAGAGACCCCGGAGCTGTGCAGAAACATCAGAGAGCACTTTGTGTGGAAAACACAACAAGCCCCTGGAGGTTTACTGCTGCACAGATAAGCAGATCATATGTGCACAGTGTGCTTCAGCTGAGCATGGAGGACACAGGATCGGGTTGGTGAAGGAGGAACGGAGGCGGAAGGAGGTACTTAAAACAAGATTTAAAAAAAAGGTGCAAATCCTACTTGAAAGCTCAAATTTGCAGGAAGAAGAAACTGAAGGAAGCGTCTCCTGGAAAGCTTTTGGTGAATTAGCCCAGGAGTCAATTCATGCAGTCTTACTAGACCTTCTAGAACTTAATATTTCCAACTCCAGATTTAGTTTTGAAACGACAATGCAGCGACATAGCTGACTATAACAAAAATATTACAAGAACATGTTTTCTCTTTGGGTAAATCCAGGAAACTGTCATTAACCAATTGCTCGTGATTTCCTGCAACTTCAAGATTGCTGACAATGTTTTATATCCTGGTGGATATTTGGAAACTTTTGCATATCTTGTGATTTATATATATGTACAATGATTTTAGCCATGTAACTGAGATGAAAGCAAAGTGCACGCTGCATCTAAGGCACACAGATCGACGATTCAAACTTCAACATAAGCTAAAAAAAATGAATAATTGCTGAAACTAAGTTTCGATTGGAAGTGAGGGGAGGAAAACCGGAGAACAGACACGTTTTAAGCCTAATTTTAAAAGTAGATGGGCTGTCTGTATTTCAGACAGGTGACACTTCCACTTTATTTGGTTAAACAAATCATTCCTGAGTACTGGGACAGCCTTACAAAACATTCAAATGACTTACAGCATCGACCTAGTTTTAGACAAAGATGCATTTGATTCATACAAATGTAAAAAGTGCCATCCAGGAAAAAACTAACAAAATCTAAACAAATTATGTGTTTGCTTCCAACTAACACATTCTGAAGAAGGAACTTAAGGACATGCAGACAAAGTTCAAGCAGACTCTTCAGAAGCAAGAAAGGAAAAGAGAGATGATGGGGGAGATGCTCGGACAGATTCAGGTGAGGGGAACATGTGACCAGAAAGTTATGTTGTCTGAAGTGTTTGTAGTGTGTCACCCACTCACATGTGTATCAAACAGGACGAGGCGAGAAAAACAGAAGCCTTCTGTGAAAGCGTCATAGTGGGCGCCATCGACTCCCTTCAGAAACATTACCTGTCAGTGAAGGAAGTGATTGCAGCTCAGGAGGAGGCGGCTGCAGCTCAGGTTCGCATCTCGCTGAAGAGCCTGGAGGAGGAGGTGAAGCAGATGAAGGAGAGGGATGCTAAGCTGGACCGCCTGGCACAGACTGAGAGCCACATCCGTTTCCTGCAGGTATACTCCCAACACAGCGCTGGAAACTTTGCCTGTTTCTGAGTGACGGGTCGTATCCTGAACTTCTCCCCTCCATCCTCACAGAAATGGCCCTCTCTGAAGCTCCTCTGTGACCACTCGTTCCAGGAGCTTTCAGAGGATCCACTCCTCCACTTTGAGCTCACAAAGAGAGCCGTTGAGCATCTTGGGAAGCAACTGGAGGGATTCTGTGACAAAGAATTCGCCTCAATCTGTAACACTGGTATGTGTCGTTATGTGGAAAACATCTCTCTTTAATTATAAGAATGTAAGAATATCTATGTCCTTGCGTATGACAGCTGATGGTGAGGAGCAGCAGGAATCAGCATCAGAGATGGAGGAAGATGATGTCCAGCGAAGAAGTGAAGCCAGCGTCTCACAGCCCCATGGTTTGTACTTCAAACAGTTTCTAGAACAATTTTAATATTATCTTACAGTTGTGGTCAGAAGTTTACACCCACTCGTCATCATGGACATGACCGTCATGCTAATTTTGTGTTTTTAATGGTTTCTTTAAACTGTTGTTCAGCACACATCTTTAATGGCTTTGAGAAACAAGAATCGAAGGGAGAAGTTTGAATATATTTTGGATTTCTTTAATTCACACAGAGCCAAAAGTATACATGCAGGCTCAAATATATTAACCAGCCCCCAATAATATTTTGTTAAATGTCCTGTTACTGTGAGCCTCCTTCATCCATTCCAAAACCAGCTGTGTCCGCATTGTCCGGATTATTTGACATTAGGTTGAAGAATTTGCAGGTAGTCCTGCTCCTTATTCCATCCATTTTATGATGTACCAGTGACACGTTTATACAGGAGAACATCTGTCGTTTAAAAGGTTTTATTTGCTTCAGCAGTTGAAATTACAAGTTTACACCACTGGACTTTGATGTGAACTCAGCCATCTGCTTCACACAGAGGATGACCCTCAGAGTGGGCAGTCCAGTTTTATACTACAACAAAAACACGTATTATTATGAAAGCGGAAGCGACGTGGCAGTCCTGCGACTCTTCTCCTCTCTTTGTTCCCAGCTGACCTCGTCTTGTATCTTCTCCTCTTCCTGGAAAAATAAGACAGAAAGAAAACACCTCACTGCCTAGCCTTGAGTTTTAATATAACCTAGCAATCCTAAGGCTACTGATTCCACTTATTATCTAAGTTTGGGACATTCTGTTCGGACTCCCTTGGCCCAGAAAATATAATCTGGACTTCTAACCAGTTATGATGTGTAAGCATGCTTTGCAAAACCCTCTGCACTTCTACATGTCAATCACGATAATTCAATTCATAGCACTGAATTTGGCTCAATCTGTAACACTGGTATCTTTCGACTCGTAATTCATGGAGTGCCTGATACCAGTGCCACTGCTAAAAATAGCCCCAGAGCATGATTCGGAGATAGTACAGTGTTCTTCGGTTTAAAAGCCTCACCACTATTCCTCCAGATACACCTCATGTCATTGTGGCCAAAAAAGTCTGTCTTTATCTTGTCTGACTATAAAACTTGTCCATGTGAGCAGCTGCAAATTTTAGTCCAGCTTGAACGTGGAGCAGGGTCTTCTTTCTTGTTTGGCACCCTTCTACATGCCAGTGTAAAAATCATTTCACCTTGGACAGGGGTGCTGGCAGTTCACAGTTGATGGCAGGTTTGAGTCGGTGGTTCCTGGGTTGTTCCTCAACATCCTTAAACATGTCCTCTCATCTGAGGGTCAAAGTTTGAGTCTTCTTCCAGACCTTGGCAAAATGGTGACACATCTGAATAACTTGTACTTACAGGCCAGTTTCAGGGTCCCTGTATTGTTTAATGATGCAGCAGAGACGCTCACTGATGCTCTGATGTCGTCTCCCGTGTCTCTTTACAGCTAGCAGGCCTCTGGCTAAACAGAAAGTTGAGCCTAAAACCAGAGAAGAGTTCCTGCAATGTAAGTTTATCTTCCAACCTGCTCTCACCATGACTTTACCCACACACAGACTCATCCAACCACAGCTGTCTTCTTAGATTCAGTCTTTAAATGTTCTCTTCATTATCTCAGATGCGTGTGAGCTCTCTCTGGACCCCACGACAGCTCATGAGGACCTGGTTATTTTGAAAGGAGGGAAGATGGTTAAGCTGTGCAATGAGAGGTCCAAGAATCCTAGTGTTCGTAACCCAGAGAGGTTTATACATCGGCGGCAGGTGCTGTGCAGGGAGGGACTGCAAGCTGACTGCTACTATGAGGTAGAGGTGAAAGGAGACAAAGCAGAGATCGCTCTAACCTACAAAGGAATAAACAGAAAATCCCGCACTACACTGTCAGCCTTCGGGGCCAATGCAAATTCCTGGAGTCTGGATCTATCTAAACATTACTCTGTGAGCCACAATTCTGACAGCATCCAGCTCACTACACCACCCCGTCATCACAGGGTTGGAATTTATCTTAAATTTCAAACCGGAACTTTGTCTTTCTATGAGGTGTCGGACAGTATGAACTTCCTGTACAAGGTTGAAGCCGAGTTCAGAGAGCCGCTGTATCCCGGATTCTGGCTCGGAGAGAAATGTTGCATCAGGATCTGTGATCTGAGACAGAGCCAACTGTAAAAGAACCGAAGAGGACTGCAAACAGCTTCTTTCTACTTAAAGGGAAATTAAAAATAATATGTATAGATTGCTGTATAGATTGCACAGTGCACTGACATGTCTGTTTCCTATGATGTGTGGGGTGGTTGTTAACTCTGCAGTATATAAAGCCCAAATTGCCTATATGTGTAAGTTTGTATAAATTCAATAGTATAAAATTGCGTTTTTATTCATGCTGGACATGTTTTACTGTGGACAGAGTGCTGAATGTAGAAGAATGCCTTGTTTCTACGTAACCTCCAAAGGCAGGATTTAGCAAGTACATATAGTTGAGGGTATATATGTATATTCTGTTTCTATTTAACATTGCTTTGTGAAATTACTGTGTCCAGAAGAGGGCGTCATGTGTCTGCGGTTTGCCTAATATTCTAGCCTTGTATGGAATTTCAGTCAAGTCAATATTAAAGAACTAAATAAACAAGTGGACAAATAGAAATGTAATTAAATGAATCCTGAAATATTTTTCTAATTAAGAAAATGAATAAAAATAGAGGCCGTCTCTCTTGATTGCCCACTTCAGGGTGGGAGAAACACCCCTGAACTGTGTTATGATTGTTGATGTAACATAGTTTGCTTACCAGAGGGCACTCTGAGCTCTTCCCTGTTGGTAACACCAGAACACTCAGCGGGAAATTAGTAATAAATTAGTCATCTATGACCTGTTGACACAATAAAACAAGATTTATTTAAACTGCATTGCCATATATTATCTCAGTAAGGCTCATAAATACGTCCACATAACAAACGTTTTGGAAATCTGTCTAACGCATTAGCTGATATATTGGACTTATAAATCACCACATATTGGTGCTGGTCTTAATAATCCTCTGTTGGTCCAGCTTTACTCAAGTACTCTGTATTTGAAATGCATGTTTGATTAAGGATGATGGATTTAACAGTGTGGTTAAAGGGAGATAATTTAATCTAGCAGGCAGGGAAATTGTGTAGATTTGATATTGCAGTGCTGGTTGGTGAGAGTCTCGAGGAGATTGTCATTAGTCTGCATTTGAACTCATTGTCTAATCTTCCTGTTCTGCTTGGTATGGCAGAATAGACTGTTTGGTCCTTATCTTTTTATTAATTTCTAATTGTGCATATTAAAACTGTGTGTCGTGTTTTAAAGTCTATGGTGATTATTTAAAAGGCTCTGACTCTAAAAACAGTTCTTTATATATCGATTCTACCAGTTGAACCTGGTTACTAGTGTTTGTTGATGATGTGAGTGCTGATGGAAGCAGCAGGATGAGTCCTGAAGTGTACAGGGCTATCGCTTCACAGTGTGAATGGATAATGACCCAAAACATAATGTTCAAGCAACCCAAAAGGCAAAGAAATAAATGAGGACTGGCTGTTTCAGTCATGTGATCTCAGCTAGAGTACGACTGATATGGGATTTTTGATACCGATATGCGGCGGTTTAAAAAATCGGTTTAAAAAACTATATTTAAACAGACAGATCTCCCTAACATTTGTTATGTCTAGTTATATATGAGTGCTTACTAACATAATAAAGCAATACAGTTTAAAAATACTTGTGGATAACTCATTTACACCCGACTCTGCTCTGATCTGTAGTTGTGTTTATGTTCCAGACACGTGTTGCCAACAGGGAAGTTGAAGAGTAACATCAACACTCCCAGCGTTGCAGGTCGTCTCTTCTTCACTTTTAAAATGTTCATTTATCGGCTGTAATAAATGCCGACACTGATATCTCTAGAAAATAGTACTGGCTGATGTATCGATCACCACCAACATCTGATAAATCATGTTTTACTTTGACCGAGAATGAATTTAAACCAAAAAAGTCCAGAAACGTCACAGCAGCTTGTCCACTCTTTATTAGAATAATTTTTTTATGGTCACAATTTTTACAGTATTTCTCAGTTTGATACATTCATAAAATGAAAGAGGAAAGAGAGGGAAGCTGTAAAGGGACATGTGTCTCCTGTATAGTGTTTGAAGTGTGTGCTCACTAAGGCCTTGCACACACCAAGCCAAACTCACATCTCACACACACACACACATGTGCACACACCAGTGTTGGGGGTTATTTCTAAGGATTGCTTTTCACAGACAGGATTTGCTTTCAGCCACAGTTATTCTGTCATTTAAATAACATCATATTGCTTTTCATCAAATTTTAAATGTACTGGAAACAAGACAACGAAAACAGACGTTAGCTTTTTGCAGTCTTGTGAAAAAAGTGCATTGATCACATTCATTTCTAACTTTTGTTATACTTACTGCTAAAACTTTTAAGACATTAATCTACATCACGTTAATAAAATCTATCTCCAGAATAGTTTGGTTACATAACATTATTTACAGACATGAACACACCAGAGATGTCTGCGTGATACACTCTTACACTAAAACGGCTCACACACCAAACACAAAACATCTGTAACCACACTAGTGATCCACTCATTACACAGCAGAAAACTAATTCCTGAATGGACTGTGACAACTTGCTGTTCATAGAGCTACCACCAGGGGGCGAAAACATCGCCAAAGGAGGATTAGCCAAACCCTTTGCTCAGGTCTCTCCGTGCAAACTTGGATGAAAAATGTGCTTGGAAGCTGAAAATGTTTGATTCAGAGAGAAAAACAAAACCAATCAAACAGAAAGAAAAATCCCACTTTGTGGATCAAACCTACCGTGTTACATTCATTTCTGAATCCTTACACTGTTAAAGGAAACTGTATTTTTCCACATATAGAGCAGTTGAAACCCCCCCCAGCATATTCCTGATACATGTGTCTGTGTTTTTCCCCCCAAACTGGATGCAAAAGATTGCATCCAGTAAATATATATATATGATTTTTCCAGTAAAGTGTTTGTCTGTCTCTGATGTGGGCAGAAGTGAGTATTTCATCAACGTTACTTGTGAGTGCATAAAAAACCCAGTGATGCCTGTTGCGTCACTCTGTATGAACGACACCTTATTTTAATGATGTCGATGGAGATGCTTTGGAGGACGCTGATAATAGTCATCTTGCTTCTTGTTGGATGCTGTGTTTTTGAATCAGCAATTTTTCACCTGCCCCTAAATAAATTTGCAAAGGTGTGGACCACCCAAGCAGCAACCTCCAGGATTGCAGTTCCTCTGGTGGCCACTTGAGGCTGGCTCCAAAAGTGAGTCAATCCCTATAGGCTCCCATGTTAAGATGCTAACCTTTGAAGCACTAAAAATGAAAAATGTTCTTTGCTTCTATGGATAAATTTCCCTTTTATTGACTCTGTGCTGGCTACATGTTTTTTAATCTAATATATCTGGATAACAACAACCTCCATAATCAGAGATGTCACTTTTTCAATTTAGGATTGTGGGTAGTGTAGTTCTTTTCCATCTCATGCAGCCTCTTTGGTCTCCACTGGAGCAGATTGTTGCTAGTGATGTGCGATTCCACTGATTTCCTTTCCAATCCGATACCAAGTAAAATTCAGGGTGGTATCGACGATACTGATCTGATACCGATACTTTGTACAAAAACGTATTTTATTTATTGTATCTCAAATTATAACGTCATAATGATTACAGGACATCAGATTACTTGTTCTTATCACTTAATAATGCAGAGTTCATCATATAGAAATAAAAAACCTGAAGTTGTGCGCTATTTGAATGGAAGAGGAAGTAGTTCCTTCCAATTGTAGACAATCCGGCCTCTATTTCCACTGTGTTCCTGTTAATGATAAACTACAAATTTACCCTAAATTACTAAAATATCAATATTTTAATGTGAGAATCGATTCTAGAACATAAATTACTGGTATCGGAGGAATCGATATTTCAGTATCGATCCGCACATCACTAATTGTCGCACTATTGTTTGATTATGTCGTAGCTCGTAGTGAGTCTACTTTAGACGGCTAAAACATTATAGCTCATAATTAAAATCCCTGTGGAGAAATTTACTTTCTGGAACCTTGTTGTTGAGCTTTATTAGCAGGTGTTTATTATTGTGAATGGAGCTTAGTAGCTAGCTTGCTAACTTTAGCTTATAACTTAGCACGCCACCCTCTTGTCCAAATACCCGAGGATTAAAAAGTTGAACAAAGTCCAAAATCAATGGGTGACCTCAGAGTGGTTCAACCTAAAAAGTGCTTGCATGTTTTGTATACATCTGGAAAGATATCTGCTCAGGATGTTAGCATGCTGTGTCATCTACGCTAAACATATTTTAGAGACAGCCTTTCATGAACCTGTTGGCTAACAGGACATTTTGAGAGCATCTTTCGGTGAACGATTAGACCACTAAACCGGAAGTGGACACACACACGACTAAACAAGACCGTACATCAGCTCCACAGTGCAGCATCATTTTCATGTCCACGATCAGCTCCACAAACTACAGAACAGTTCTAAAATGTACAGACTCAATAAGCGTCACACAAGATTAAAATACACAGTATACATACTAAACGCTTGTAAAAGATAAATCTTTGTAATTCATCACGCCTACGTAACAGCAAATATACAGGAATATAAATATAGTCCATTTATACCTAAACACCATGGCTTTAAATATTGTGATAAAAAAATAAATTAAAGATTCCTTTAAATAGGAATTTAAATGTGCTCAGTTTAAACTCAAGTCAGCGACCATCACCGTAATTCCTGCTGCGCCACGGCAGGGCCTGTAACACAGAGAGCAGTGTGTATGTGTGCATGTGTACTTCTGTCTGTGCATGAGGAGTCTAAGGCTTTCAAAGGTGCACACTATCAGGTCGGCTGATAAGTTCACAGAATTGGGATTTTTGCTTTTTAATCTTTTGGTCCGTAGCTATTTTTCTTATTTTAAGTTCATTTTTTTGTTCAAAGTTAACACAGTTTGTGCGCCAATATAAATATATATTGCTGTGTGTCCCATAATATGTCTCGGCAGGAGTTAATTTTAAAATGTGGATCAATGCTTGAGACAATTCCAGCCAATAATCTGCTTGTGCTCAGTGAGTCAAAATCTCCTTTGTGCTTTTTTGAAGGAGGAGAAAAGCAAAGTTTGCGAGCTTCGTGCCCGCCTTGTGTTTTGGGTTGTAGTTCACTTTCACTGCAGTCCAGTGTAACAGGTCTGTTATTCTGGAGCAGATTTCAAGTGTTTTGTTGTTTACTTTTAACTCTTTGGTGGAGAAACTGAAATGGGTGTGTTTCTACAGCACGGAGACGAAGACGTGAGAGTGATGGATAACGAAACAGTGGTTTGAGCTCCCGGTTAATAAAACCCAGAGTCCTAAAGGTATGTTACATTACTATAACTATACTGTACATTGTGATTTTACACCTTTTTTTGTTTTTACAAAATGAACAACAACAATAGACTCTACGCGCAAATTACAGGAGGAGGTGGATGTGGGGTCTGATTGGAACATAAACGGGTGCCTTTAGAGTCGTCTTAGCATATTTTACAAATCATAGTCCTATGAAAACAAATCTCACGGCATCAGAACAGAGCTGCGAGTCTGTGGCCAAAAACGTTACCTGATCTTAATTTGGAAGTGCTCACCTTTAAAGTCATTTTCTTAAACATACAGAGTCGAGTGTTTTTTTTTTTTTTGGATTCCTTGTGTGCCAACACACAGTGGCAAACACCACAGGTCAGGTGGTTTGCTGTGAATGTCTTCCTCAGACACCTCAGGACGTTACAGTAGAGTTTAGTTGTGACTTGAATTCACAGAGCACACTGTGGAGTGAAAATGGGACTTCCCACAGCTGTGCTGAGCATGACCTTGAAGAACAATTTGTCCAAATCTGAATCAGGTATGGTTTTGGAACTTTTCAGCTGCACCTTGTCGACTGCATAACATCTAATATAAAGAAAACCTGCTGCGTATTAAGTGGTACATGGCTTTGACACCCATTATTGCTACATAGGAAACCAGCAGAACCTCACAAACTCTACTACATTCACTCTTTCACACTACCTGCACTGTGCAGACATTTTCCTTATACTATGGGGTCGGTGTCTGCTAGGGGATCCTTAAACTAAGGCAAAGAAAATCAGATCACAGAACTTCATTCTGAACACATTAACCTGATGTTTTTAAATATATACAGATGTAGTGTGTCACTGTTAATCTCAACCTGTTTCCAGAGTTTCGTTTATTGTAAAAGAGTGAAATGCATCCCTTATTTCCTGTTTTCTAACTTCCAGATGCTCGGAAACATTCTGGAAATCTTCTCATGAAGTTCCTTCGTGTTATTTTGGAAGCGCTCATAAACTGGATGGCTACGTACAGTTTTGTGGCATTAGCAGGGCAGTGGTGAGGATTCCTGGAGCTGTGCTGAGCTCCAGTGGAGACCTCATGGGTAAAGTTGTGCTACAGGGGTGGTCAGAGGGGAGTCTGTCAAGGCTGGGCAACAGTCAAGAGTCAGACTCTGGTGTGAGAGGTGTGCTTGGTGTAGTTGGTGTGGTGGGGCTTATGGCAGCATTTTGGTAGCTAGTACCATAGCAGATGTTTGGAGACAGGGAGTCCATGGCTTTGTTTCCTCCAGGTGTCAGGAAGGGTTTACGTGCTGGCCCTGATGATGGGGCCTCGCCTGGTTTGCCTCCAAGGATGAATCTAGCCTCATCCTGCTCCTCAAGGTTGGATATGTCCTTCATCATAGATTTATGGTAAGAGACAGACAGCTTGTTAGAGCCGTCTGACATCAAGTTGAAGTGTCGGGCGATGAAGACAACAGGGAGCGGAAGCATGGCCACAACGATAAGAGCGAAGCACATGGCCAGAGCCCAGGGAGGATAGCTCTGGAAGCGTTCCTGAGCCTAAAATGACAGAGGGGTGAAATGAAAAGGGAACACTTTTCAAACGTTCCAGATGAAAACTAGCCCCCCAATCACTCCTACAAAGTACACCCTGTGCGGCTGTGTAATGGTGGGAATTTATTCTGTGCTTTTTATTCTTACTCACACAGAGACACGGTATGCAATCCTGTGAAAAACGAAGTACAATTTGTCATATATGACTGTTGCTGTTGGACATTTTGCTTATATTTTAGCAGTTTTCGTGTCGTGTTTTAGCTTCTTTTCCCTGAGTGAAGCATTTGAAAACTTCTTTTACACCAAAACAGCACAAACACACACACAGACAGACTGACCAGCTCTTGAACCCAGGCGTTGTATCCTGGTGGGCTGATGGCCATCTCGATGACAGTGGCCGAGATGAGAACGATAAGACAGAAAGGGGAGACGTACTTCCAAAGGTAGAAATAGATGATATAAGGTCGGAAACCTAACATGTCCTCCAGGTCCTGCATGAACCTGACGAAGAACAACAAATTGCAGTAAGGATCCTTTCCTTGGATACACTTTTGTAGTTTGATACACAGCTTTGAGCAGCACCTTGTAGTTAGCCTCACCTTTTGGTGCCATATATCCAAGCAACAGACAGATTTTCCAGGATGACCACTACAGTGAGAGGCAGACCAGCCGAGTAATCATCGAACATGGTGACAAAGTAATTTCCCGACCGCTGAACAAACAACAAGCCGCATAAGAAAGCGATGATGCAGCAACACACTGAAACAAACACAGAAACAATTGGAGCTCATTTGGAAGAAAAGATTAGGAAAAAGTTTGAAAAAACAGATGAGAATTAAAAAGGTTTTATTTGCCATTAAGTGCTATTATTTCCTGTTTCTGCTTTCCATCCAGTTTGCTCACAGCACATAAATACTAATGCAGCTCATTCCCAGATGTACTTTAATCCTTTCTAAGTGCTGAGCAAGGGGTTTCAACTACTAATAGCACGGAGGCTGAGGGAGTCAGTGTGGCGGTGGTGCTGGGGAGCGGCGTACCTGTAAAAAGCTCCTTCTGGACTTTGTAGGCGTCAAGGACAGGTGTGGTGATGCCAGTCATGGTGCCGATCATGCTGCCCAGACCGAGGTTGATGAGCATGAAGAAGAACATGACTGACCAGAAGGGAGATGCTGGGAAATGCGTCATGGCTTCTGTGAAGGCGATGAAGGCCAGGCCGGTGCCCTGGACAGCCTGCAGAGAGACATTGAGAGGTGTGAAACACAGAACATGCTGTGGATTCAGCTGAGTTATGTGTGCCAAAGGCTCACTTTGTTCAGCTCATCCTCCAGAACACACGGCTCCAGACCCAGCTGGGGAAAGCTGTCCTCTTTGACCGTTTTAATGACCCCGTACATCTCAGCGTAGTCCGACGTGGTGAGATGGGAAAAGTTCACATGTGGAGGAATAAGATCATGACTCAGGACGTTGGAGTTGAGGTATCCCAGGATCTTTTCTGCATTCCTGCAGACAGAAAAGGTCAGAATCCCAATGAATCCAATACATATTTTGCTCAGATCCTCATCTGCTATTGATCTTACTGTCCGCACGTCTCACCACTATGGGGAGACGTAAGAGCCTTCAGTCGCTCTGCTCCTCGGCTCTGGAACTCTCTTCCTCCAGCCATAAGACATATAGACTCTCTTCCCGCATTTAAGTCACAGCTCAAAACACTTCTGTTCAAACTGGCTTATTCGTTTTAGTGCTCATTTCATCTGTTGTCAAGTTCTGCTTTGCAATTTTAACTGATTTTATGTATTTTATGACTATTGCTTCTTTTATTAATTTTGTTCTTTTGTAAGGTGACCTTGGGTTTTTGAAAGGCGCCCTCAAATAAAATGTATTATTATTATTATTATTATTTTATATTCTTGGACTCTACCAGAGTAGCTTGCATGTTTCAAATTTATTAAAAAAACAAAAGACATCATAATTTAATTTAATTTTCAACTTTCCCCTGATTGTCTGGTCCTCATATAAGTTGGAATAGCAGGTTTGTATATTTATTATATGAGGCTAAAACTTTGAGAAGAATCATCTTGTCTTCAAGCGGGGACTTTCCCTGTCTTTGACATCAGATAGAGTCACGAACAGAAAAACACCATCAGAAACTAAGAACTCAGAACAATCTGAAGATGGGCCTTTTGGCTCGGAAGCACTGCTCGCACGTGCACTGACCACAGTATCTGAAAATATGAGGATCCATCACTGTAACAACATATATGTGACAGAAAATAAGGATAACTGCCACTGTTTATAACATAAAGACTGTGGGGATTGTAACTTTGAGGTGTGATTTTTGGTTAATATGCAGTACTCATGAACCTTGCTGTCTGACTTTTGTTTCTTTTTTGGGAGGTTACATTCAATGTTGCCAAAAAAAAAAACTTACTCCACAACACACTTTTCATTCATGATGTTTGCCTTGAAGCCCAACACAGCAAACACAACCAGTGTGGCCAAAATGGAGGTCAAAAAGTTGATGACAGAGACGAGCACGGCATCAAAGTGGCAGTTGTTGTCAATCTTATTGTAACTGGAGAAGGCAATGACTCCTCCAAAACCCAGACCGAGGGCAAAGAAGACCTGGGTGGCGGCCTCCCTCCACACCTGCGGCTCCAGCATCTTCTCCAACTGAGATGTGAGGAGAGGCTTTTGTTAGCATGCATGGTTGAAAAAACAGAGGTGAGGAACAATGACTCTTCCATCCTAACCTTGGGAGTGAACATGTGAGCGATACCATCTACGGAGCCCTTCAGCATTAAACCCCTGACCAGGAAACAGAACAGCACCACGTAGGGGAAAAGAGAACTGAAGTACATCACCTGTACAGGTGCAAAAGAAAAAGACATCAATTCAGCAAAAAACAAGCCTCCACACTTTTCTCTTAAATGTTTCTGTGTCATGGTTTCCCAACCTTCCCAGAGGAAGCGATTCCTTTAATGACGGCGAGGCAGACAATGATCCAGGCTACCAGCAGAGACAGGGTCATTTTGATGTTGAGGCCGCCGCTCTCTGCGATGGTGCTGGTCGTGTTCAGAGTCTGCCGGTACCAGAAATAGGTCGTAGCCGAGCTTTTGTCACATTCTGGCTCCACAACTGTAGATGACAGGAAAGAAAAGTTTAATTTGGGTGATAATGAGGAAGCAAGAAGAGAAAAGGTTTGAAAAGACTGCAGGGAGCCTGAGGAGAGCGAAAGGAGAGTATACTGGTGCAGAGGATGTTTGCTCGGGGTCAGTATTACAAGATTTGGCTGGTTTATATTTCTCACTTACACAAGGTCATCTGTGTACTTGGTATGCAAAACACACAACTCAAAGTCACAACCCTTGAGATTTTCCTCACAGTGTATTAACTTGTTACCTTGAAGAAATGAAATATACTGTGCGTGGCTGCGAGTAGAGGCAGCGGTGTTGTGATAATATGATCACGTATTACTGAGCTTTATCTGTGCAGAGACACACACGGCACACAGAAAAAAGTCAAGCACAAGCAGGTGAAAATGCTTCACAAATTAAACTGAATCAAGTTGTTCTTTACTATGTTTGTTGATCGATTTGCTTCCACGTGTATGTCGTCGCAGCGGCCGTGAAATATTTTACAGTCTGCTGCTGTCCTTCAGCATTAGCGTCCTTCAGCATGAATCTCTGCTTCCCCCGTCTTTCTGCCAGCCTTGCTGAGTCATTCACATGCTGGTTTTTGGCTGCCCCAGGGTTTACAATATAATCACCACTAATCGAATAAGTTCCAGTGGGTTTTAATCTGGATTAGGCAAGTGAAGTCTTGACAGAAAGTTGTAGTGAAGGGAAGACAGCTTGTGTCTTCTGCTCAGGAGTGTTGATGAAGACTGAAGCTTTGTAACACAGCAATCCATTGAAGTATAACTGTGAGAATTATGTGCAATCTGCAATGTTTCACCAAATCAGTAGCATGATTTTCTCATCATACTGAACCTTTAAAAATCAAACCCTAAGCGGTCTGCATTAAATGCATCAGTGACCTGCAGTTAAGACAGTTTTCCTGTACGGTCATGTGAAAAAGAACGATTTTCACAGGACTGTAAGTAACAACAGTACGTAGCAAGAGTGACCACCTCTATAAAAACTGGAACGTTCCGGTGTGTATTAACACAATGCCACAATCTTCCGTGGAGTGAACATCCAAGCAAATTCATCGCAGACTGTGCAGAGAAAGTGCAGAAAAACAAAGAGCTCTACCTCATATCGTACCGCTCACGGTAATACCGGTATAATGTTGGGCAACGATAAGAAAATGAAATATCACGATAGAATATGGGTAAAACGCAAATGTGCAGTGCCTTTGTTTTCATTGTCGGCCAATTTCCACTGGAAATGCCTTTTGGTTAAACTGTCAGCAAGGAATTTGCATTTGCACTGTTAAATTTTTATATAACTTTAATGCAGATAAAAAACAGCTGCTTGTTTAAGTGAAAATACATTGGGGGTTTTTTTTGCACTAATAAAGTTGTGGAGTTATAAAGTATTTTGTCTAGTGTCAATTATATCGTCAGTTATATCGTTATCGCAAATTTTCAAATGTATATCGTGATAAATATTTTTGGTCATATCGCCCTGCTCTATGCAGCATGTGAGTACAAACACCCCAAACCAACTGCCGAGCATGGTAGTGGAAGGGTGATGATTTGGGCTTGTTTTTGCAGCCACAGGACCTGGGCACCTTGCAGTCATTGAGTCAAGCATGAACCTCTCGGTATGCCGAAGATATCTAGAGTCAAAAGTGAGGCCATCTGTTCGACAGCTAAAGCTTGGCCACAGCTAGGTCACGACAACAATCACAGCACAGCACAGTAATAAACCTACAACAGAACGTCTGAAAAAGAAAAGAATCGACTCTGCAAAAAGCCAGTCAAAGTGCCGACCTCAACATGGGAGAAATGCTGCGATGGGAACTTAAGAGAGTTATTCATAAACAAACACGTACAATTCTCAATGGACTGAAGCGATGTTGTAATGAAGAGTGGCCCAAATATTAACTTCAAGTTATTGGTGGTTTTACTAGAATTCAAGAATCCAAACTGTCTTTCATCTTAATCCTCATACTGGCTGTTTGTTCCCACTGTCTGAAAGACCCATGTGTGAATTTCTGAACCCTATGAGAGAAAAAATACGAACTCTTTTTGTATCCTTTCTTTAAATGGTTGCCTAAAAGGAAAATTGCTTTTCCATCCCCAAATTCCTCTTCTTAGCCAAGAGACTCTTGACATTAAGTCCAGATCAGTCTTCAGGGTTTTTCCTTTAACTTTGGAACTGTGATATTTCCTGCATATAGCAGGAAATATCACAGTTTGGAATAACTAAACCATGTTACATAGCTAAACTTAAGTTGCTGCACTTTAAACTTTAGCTTTACATTTTGGGCAACCTGTGTCTGCACAAAACTGTCATTCCTGTTTATCTATAGCCATCCTAGCAGAATGGCATTGGAGGCAGTATCCTTTAGTCATCTTTTGTAACTGCACAACTAATGAGAGGGACTACCATGAGATTTTGGAGAGAAATGCATCTGTGAAACAGCGTTTACTGTCAATTAACAAATGTTGGTATTGCACTAAAGTAAGTTCATATAAACTCACTGGCAAGTGTCCCATTCTTTCTGATTGGGCAGTCACTCCATGGGAGAGGATACTGGAAGGACTGGAAGAAGTAGAAAATGCTCCAACCGATGATCACATTATAGTAGAGACCCACAAAGCCGCACACCTACAGACAGATAGATGGCGTTATGCGACAGAAACAGCCAGATAACATTTAATGAGGTACAAATATGTGATGTCAGGTTTGATATAGACATCACATGTGCAGAGGATCATCTGTGCAGAGTGAGAAAAACATGCAAATGAGGCAGGTGCTTTGTGCATGTCCCAATGCTGCTGTCAGTCTTTGGAGCAGCCTTGCCAGCAAGGACATTCAGAAGCTAAATAAGTTTGAGGGAAGCATGAATAATTGAAGTGCTCTCTTTTCAACAGTGATCTTCTGTGAGATATTTATAGCTGCTTCTGCAGCTCTGAAGTAAGACTACCTTCCACTCTCAGACACGTCAATACCTTCATAAACCTGCATCAAGATATAACTTTAACTAGATAGATAAATAGATAGAACCTCTTTGATCTCATCACCATGCTTCACTTGTCAAACTGCTTCCTATGGAGCCGCTAAAGACTTTAAGAGCACTGCTAAAGAAAGAGTGTACATTTGGCTCACAGTTAAAAAGATGATGGCTCTGTCTCACACTCCTTACAGGAACAGAAGCATCTCAGCTTACCATCAGACTTGACATTCCTATTCCACCCAGGCGGGGACAGACGTAGTTCCACACCCCGATACTTCCACGCCTGATCTTCTGACCCACTGCCAGCTCCAAGAAGAAGAGAGGGATGCCAATAATGAGGAGGAGGATGAAGTAAGGAACCAGATAGGCGCCTGAAACAACAAATAAACAAAAAAAGATTTGGTGTTTCTAAGAAAAAAAGTGTTGCTGTTTGGTTGGCTAACTTACACAGGAAATCACAAGTCCTTGTACCCCTGGATAGGGAGCTTTTTTCATGCTGTAAAATGCTAGTGCTAAGCTAATGGGTAGCACTAGGTGTCCTCTGGCTGCTACAGTAAAAGTAGGACAGTTGTATCAAACTGTGGGAAAATAACCTTTTTACTTCTCGCGTGATCCCACTAAACACCCTCAGTCACTGCTCTCAGGTTTTATGCGATAGGATAAAGTGCACGGTAAAGCGGGCTATGCTATGATGGGCCTCCATTAGCGGTATACCGTTGCGCCGCTGGTGTAGTGGTATCATGCAAGATTCCCATTCTTGCGACCCGGGTTCGATTCCCGGGCGGCGCACGAGTTTTTTCCCTCCCACAATTTCGTTGTGCAGTGACAAATTAGGGCGACTCTATTCTGTTGTCTGTTACATCTGGTTTAACTACAGTGAAAATAGTCAACCGATGGCTTCAATAACCATTGGCTCACACCAGTAAAACTACAATTAACTAAATAAAAAACGTAATGAACTGGATTGAGAGCATCCCAGCTGTTTGCTGACTACTTGCCAGATCACTGACTTAAGAACTCCTACAAAGGTGACTTGTGCAGCTTCAGCTTGTTAAACTGCAGCTATGCACTGCTGTCTGTTATGGAGGGTGTCTCTGACAAAATTACCTGCAATTTTTTGGGTTTGCAGCTGTTGTTGTTGCTGTGATGAAGACTGACAGTGGATTTTGTGTCTGGGTTAAATATTCACTGTACGTCTTAAGTACTAACCCTTCTGGAACCCCACACCGTAACCTATGGCCCAACCTAAGCTCTGAGATGCACCTCTCTAGAAAATATAACTATTTCGACTCAGCCCACAATGACTGTGATTGGTCAGTTCAGTAATTTTGTTTCCTCCTGTCCATTTCCTTCATTTTTTAATTTAAATAGAAAATAACAGATCAAGTTAAAGAAAGCAATCCCTCTGCTAACTACACACAGGGTACGTCGCAGATGTAACATAGAAGTAAAAATTAATGCCCATTGCATAACCTGGTATATTCCTGACAGCATTTTTGCCGGAATAAAACTTGTTTTGTTTAACTCAGCCTCATTGATAAATATTCTTTGAAATATAGTTTAATCTTAAAGGATGTCTGAATTTGTCCCCTTTGGAGCTTAATCCAGAGAGGAATCATCAGGACGCAACTGTGTTTTATGTGTGAAGGGTGAGTCATCATCCCGGATATAAAGACTTATAGCTGGCAAACATGTACTATTAATACATCAGAAGCGGGAATTACATTCAGTAGTACATGCATCTCACAGTCGGTGGAGTAATGAGGCAGAGAGATGAGAGGAGGCAAAAGGCTAAATCCAGAAAGCTGAAATAAAGAGGAAGTTAAATTTAGTGAGCGATTCTGGTCTCTTGCCAAACTTGAAATCCACTTCATCACCCGCTAGTTGAAACCAGAGGCCACTAAAAAATGTGATGCAGGATAGGCATCTCAGAGGAGGAAGAATGACAGAGGATGCTGAACGAGAAAGAGAAAGGCGTGTCCTGAGGAAAGGAGGAAACGAGAGAGGAGTCCACACATCAGTAGCGGCCAGCAACCCTGATCTTTAATGTGTCTGTAATTGGGTGGCAGACAGCAAATTACACAATGAAAAATGCCTGCTTGTCAAATCGCATAACCTGGCAAGTGCCGGTGGAAGATTACTGGCAGTAAATCTGGCCTATAGGCAATAAATCCTACGTATATGCTGTAAGTCAGGCACAAGCAGTAAAGCTAAAAACACTTAGACCAATGAAGCAAGAGCAGATCTGTCAGCCCATGATGACAAGGTGTTTTTCCTACAATGAACACCAGTTTACACTGCATGCGCCTCCGATTACATAGAGTACATGCATACCTGAGAAAAATAAAACCTCATACAGTTACATTCATTCTCCATACAGCTCTCTGTTTACCAAGGTATCAGTTGAGCCTGGCCTGCCCTACTGGCTATAGTAATCAATAATGCAGCTATTTTTAGACTTGGCTGCTTTATGCACAGTACAGCTGCTCTCTTGGCAGGTCTGAAATGAATGAAAGTGTCGTGTTGTTTTTGATAGTCAAGGTCATGAGATGAACAGCTCTCTCTGTGGCAAACGAACATGCTTGTCTGTAAAGAAAACAAATCCCATTGCTCGAATAGGACTGAGCGATCAATACCAAAATGTTAACAAGAATATTTTCTTAATATCCACATGCATCTGTTATAATCCCTAAGATAATTCTTGCTGATTATTAGTTATTTTCTGTTTGGTTTTCTCAGTTCTTTGATTATAGGTTACAAGTTTATTCTTGTTTATTTCATTTTTTCATCCTAATACTTTGGATGTTACCTGGTGAGTTTTAAGCTGAACCTTTGATAATATAATTTATTCTAGTATGGGTTTTGTATCCCTGTTTATTTATAAGATTTCTTCTGGATGGTTTTCATGTTTGATTTCTGTTTGGGCTGTAGGATCTGTAGCTTTTAGTTCTTTTTACTTTTGAAATTTAGCTTCTCTTTGTATTAGAGTTTGTTATTTATAACCTCTTATATTTTGCTGGGAAAATGTAGACACTCACTGTTGTACCTCTCTCCTGAACGCCTCTTTGAAACAGCGTTTCTAATTTGGAGTCATCACTCCATAACCCCGTTGCCACTGGTTTTCAGCCCAGTTATTTTTTGATGTCTTTTGTAGATTCAACTAAAAAAATGTATACATTATAAAAACATATAACATTATGTAAGATATACATTTTATGCCTGCTAGTAACAAAGTGCCTAAAAATACAATTTATAAGTGGTTCTTTGCTAAGTTGTCTGTTATGTGTAGACAAAACACTGGTTCATCCCCTTATGTGCCTTTTTGTGCTTGAACGATTCATAGGTCAGTGACATCGCTCTGAACACTGTGAGGAACCAGGACGACTGAAAATGAGTGAAAAAAGCAGGCGATGCCCAAAGAAAACCTTTGAAAGACCTTTAGAAAGCCTGAAGAGTTATTGCTCAACACAACTTTACAAAATGAATGTGACATCATGAGTTCTCAGACCAAAGCCATCGTTAACCTCAGTCTTCATTTGGGTTTGTAAAGATTTGTGACTAAAATTGTTCCACAGAGACTGAAATATAAATACCTGCTGGGAAAAGTACTACAGTAAGTGTCAAAAGAAAAGTGTTGAGCCACAAAGACACAAACTAATTTCTCCATCATCATAACAACTGAATGTGGATAAATGATAATTGATAATAAATTACTTCCTGGCAGTGTTGGTGGAGTAACATGTAAGGGACTTAATTAATTAAATGAAGAAATAAATGTAATTCTCATCAGTTCCATAGAATTTAAGTGCAAAATCCTCATGAGTAGGATGCCTGAAAGAGCTCAAGACCCAGACAGGCTGTTATGAATCATATTTAAAAAGAAGAATGTATATATGTGGTAAATGCTGTAAGTATTGCCTCTGACTCACCTCCTCCATTCTTTTGGCACAAGTAAGGGAAGCGCCACACGTTCCCCAGGCCCACAGAGAAGCCCACCTGGGCCAGGATGTACTGCAGTTTGCTGTTCCAGGCGGGTCGCCCATCGTTTTCAGGGACCTCTATCTGAGGGACTTTCTTCCCCGCCGCCCCTCCGACATTCAGGGAGCTGCTCTTGTAGTCGAGCGGCTCCTCGTGTGCGAGCAGGTCAGCCACCGACTCTGTGACGTGCTCATGGCTCTGCTCGCGCTGTGTCACCTTGCTGTTCTTAGGCATCAGGGAGGCTGAGGGTCAGGAGGGGGGGTGGGGGTGGGGGCGAGTGGAGAGAGAAACAGAGAGCGAGAGACGGGAAGAAGTGACGGAGGCCAAACGTCAGGTGGGGATGAAAGGAAGAGCGATGCTGAAGAGCGATTGCTGGATTTCAGTTCTTGGCTTCAGTCCTGCATCAGAAAAACAAAACAGAGCAATAGTCGCACCCGAAATGGTGTTTGGACATCATAACATTTAATTTAGTAATGATGTTGTATTATTAAATGATAACAACGTTAAGCATCTACGTTGTGAATAAAATAGTAGAAGGTTTCTGCCCTTGGTGAGTCTAATTTCCTGACTGTGATCGTTAAATAACACTTTGTACAGTAGCTGACACAAGTAATACCCCATTTATTGCTTGGTTAACCTCCTAATAAGCCACTGGATTGTAACACATGGTTATATCTCTCCAGAGCCAATAAAGAATGGCACCATAAAGACAGGATCACAGACAATTTGTCACAAAGACAGCTGTACGAATAAGATTTGGGGACAATTTTATTATGCTTCTGCATAAATGTGACCTAAAACATTACCAGAGGTTACTACAAGTCTTTAAGGGAGAAAATAAGAAACCAGCAGAACCAGTCACATTGATTTATTGCAGAATTTGATCCAATATTATACGTTTGTGATGAGGAGCAGTATTAGCAGTAAATTTGAATATAAAAGCAACAGGTGATGATGCTGAGATGTTAGTGGACTCTGAGCAGCATTTAAATATCAGACCTCTGATATAGTCTGAAAAGCACTAAAAGGAAGTGAATCGTGGCGTGAAGAAATGAGTTGTCTGAACACCCGAGGACCTGAGAAAAAAAGATGACTGATGCTCATCAGGCTGGAGAGGATTAAACAATCCTTTATAAAGAATTTAGACTCCACCAGTCGGGCATTTTGAGAGGTCACACGTGATTCCAGGGTAACTTTTAAGTAACTAAATGTCACATTGGCTATTGGACATGCTTATGAGTCTGCCACCAGGAGAACAACAATACAGAGGAATGCAGGGCTGCAAAGACAACATCACTGCTGTCCGTTTACAGCCTTTAGGGCTGTGTGGTAACGTCAGGAGACTTTGTGGATGCACAACACCAAAAACCATTTGGTTCATATGAAAAGAAAAACAAGAACAAGAACCTTATCCCATCTGTAAAACACAATCTTGTTGTGTCAAGATGTAGGCCTTTCTGCATTTGGGCCAGCACTCATGAAGTCTAAGTTATGGTAGCAAATTCTAAAAGACAAAAATGTCAAGACATCTGAAACTGAAAAACTGAGTCATGATAGCAATAGATGGTTTATATTTTTAAATTACCAACACAAAGTATTGTGAAAGGGCCAGAAGTGTGGCGCTCATGTGAGGAAACTCACAGAGATGTTGGAGTGCAATGTGCTCTGAGCTTTGGGGTGCGCTTCTCCACACCATCACACACGGCTGATCAATAGTTAAGGCAAATGCTTAGTTGCACTTCGTGCCACTTAAATGGGTCACATTGAGATACTGAAAGCAAAGATTCACACTACTTTGCCACATAGGGACGTAATATTGAATCGGTTAACTAAAAAATAAATGGCCTTGTTGTGTTGTTTGCTTGGGTTATGCTTATTAGGACTTTCCCACTTATTCTTAGCGCTATACAAATACGGGTCATTTACCATTTTACCATTTTCTTGCAACTGTATGCAGTATCCGAATTTAAGAAAAGCTCACCAGTGATTGGAACGGAAACAAAGCCCCTCACTGCAGCTCTTTGTATCTCATGCAATGTTTTCGGGTCCCAAAAATTCCCAATCCTGCAAATTGTTCTATTTAATTTCCCTGTTCTGAAAAGCTTAACTTTAGTGAAGCTTTTTTCATGTAAATCCTTTAATCCTCTGGAGCCTTGCGCCAACATCCATCCCCACCCCTCTTTGAGGGAGTGGTTGGTTCAACCCAAATGTAATAGAGGAAGTAAACACGATGCTTTGGATGAAGTGCCCTCATACGTTCTCCTTATTCACATCACAGGCCTGCATAGGCTCATTACTTATTGAGTGGGCTCTTTACTCCATCATGTTTTCCAATTGAGATGCAAAAACTGCAAAATATGAGGTCTGAAGTGAAAAAGAAAAGAAAAAGAAATTAACTAGAAAAAGTATTCTCTGTGATTGTGAGCTCATATTTCTAGTTCCACACTTGAGCTGAATGAAGGTGCTCTACCTTTCACGTGATGCTACAGCAGTGATGCGCCCGAGCTTCCTCCGTATCAGCCGATTCAGCAGACCTTAAATGCTCCACAAACCCTCTTAGAGCTTCTACCGACAACAACAAACCTACATATTCTTGATGCGCTTTTACTGTCCTAAAGAACCCCCCCCCCCCCCCACAAAAAACAAAACATCCCTAAAACAGATTTCCTCCTCTGTGCACAACAAGATGATCCCATGATGTAATAATCCAAGCGCAGCCATTCACAAGTCTTCATAATCCTGTGTGCATTAACTGTAAAAACCACCCGAGTGCTGCTTTTCTGTCTTGCCATTCAATCCCACGCTACAGTAGATATGTAATATCAATCAGCGACTGCATCATGGGGCCAACACTGGAAAAATAAAAACAGCAAACATCAACTAACCCATCCAATAATCCTCTGGAAAAAAAAAATCAGCACACAGTTCAGATGACCCCAGCTAATGCTAAGACCGAGTCTGTGTGGAGCAATTTCATACTACAGCAAAAGGTTGGAAGAAACCTTTGGGTATGGCTCGCTTTATCTGAGGTCATTCATTGTGCTGTCCTTCAGAGACTCTCACCGCACAGTTACAACCTGGCCTGGCTTTAGATATACAAGCTGCATCATCAGTCTAGTAAAAACACATGATTTGGATTTCTGTTTCTTGCCAACAGTCTGTGGCTAAAAAGAGATACCAGCATATATGAAAAGCAGTATGTCAAAGACATACAAACAGACCACGGTGTGTTAAAAGTTATATTCATTTGCAGATAAGGATGAAGGACCTCACCTATTAGCTAGAAGGTGGTTATTAGTGATACATGTACACAGTCATACACAGGTGCTGTTACTTATTGACAGTGTCACACACGACGCAAAATGCAGTTTGATTATAAAGAGGCAACCCTGTATACATCAGCTTCTGCAATCAGTCTCAATTAGATGTCCAGACTTCATTGATCAGCTGATCCTGCGATTATCAGCGAGCTCTACAAGTCTGAGCCACAGTTAAAGGTTAATCAGCTGTTTCACAAAGTAAAAAGTGTTAAAAGTCTGAAGCACGCATGTCTTTAATGGCCAAATGGCAGCATTAGACCTCAGAGGCTGGGACTGTGTGAATTGAAAGCATGCAGGATGTGAAAATCTCCATCATCAACACTACGACAGAGATCACTGTCTGGAGCACCAGGTGAGACATCTGGTGATGACAGCGATACCTCTGCCTCTGTTTTCACTGCTCGTCCTGAGCAGAATCAAGGTCACTCCAGAGCCCAGACCTGCGTGCGTCGCGGAGCACATTTGAATCTTGATGCCTTTTTGTTCGCAACATAACTTCTCTTTAAAGTTGGCAAGCATCTCAGGTATGACACAGAACAATTAAAACTACTTTTAAGCAGAAAGAAATGTTAAATGAAGCAATGGCAGGAAAAGAGTTTCTCACCGTGAGTCTTGTACAGCAGTATAATCCGGGTTTAAGCGATCGCAGTTGTCAGAGAATATCTGGAGAGAGGCATGAATACATCCACCACGAGCATGTGTATGTGTGTGTGCGGCTGTGGTACTGACTGAGCGCTCACAGGACAGTGCAGGACGGAGCATCACATGCTGCACTGCCAACAATTGACGTGCAGGGTGGAGAGCGCACCGTGACGCACGAAGTGGCTCTTATTATCAACAGTGGCAAATTAACACGCCCCACTCTTTCACTTGTTTGAGATCCATCACGGCATCTCTGCGCCGGAAGAAGAACGCCGAGTGAATGAAGGGGGCTACAACCGTGCGCGGATTTGTCAAGGTTATCCACTCCTACCTGAGGAAACGACCGACTGACGCAGTTTTCGTCATTCGCTTTTCAATTGATGGGAATTTGAAGCCGTTCAGCCATGACCGGTCGGCACACTGAAAAACAGTGCTCAGGAAAAAGAAAAAAACAAACATATTTAAGGTAGAGCTCAATGAGCCTGGTTTCTGGTGGCAGTATTATGATGAAATGAGCAAAATGTTGAAATGTGCGTTTTATAGCGGAGAAGAGTCAGCGTTGATAGGAAATGTTTATTTTAAGAAAATCTGATAACAATAATCACACGCAGATCTGGGCAACAAAACAAAGAAAACAACCATATAAAGCTCAAATTAACGTGGTGTCTAACAAAGTTTTGCGCTTTTATTAAAGGTCATGCACAAAAAACAGGAATATTATAAACCTGATATAAACAGTGAAGGACAGGTTTCCAAGATTCAGGTCAGGGTCAGGTTTGCAGACCCCTTCATCCACACTGACCTGGCTCTCTACCAGACTCACCTCATCACCGCCTTTGCTTTCTTGACGCTTCGTCTCATGCATAAACATTTGCTGGTCACAGGCTTATTCTGACATTTTCCTTGGGAGAACAGCCACCCCTCAGACTGTTCATAGTTACCTGTTAACCATGAATTTTTTTAGCTCTGCACAAATGAAATTGCTTGATAAAAGGATTTTTGGGAGCCAGTATATGAGCAGAAAAAAACATATAAGCAGATAATCTTACTGTTTTCAAAGACACAGGAAAGGGAAACATGAGAAGTTTTAAATTACTCAGCAATAAATAAGCATTAATAAATCAACAGTAATCAATAATTGAAATGACTCAGCATCAGCTGGAAACCAGACTGGAGCCGCTGCATGACTCTGGGCTGATGCGTTTGTTCCTGTTAGACATGTACCTCAGGCTGAGGCGATGAGGTGTTATTGTTGCCTTCTTGTCCAGAAATGATTGTAAAAGTCAGTAAAACCCAGTTTAGGAACTAAAAATACCCAGTAACTATTCACACAGAGATTATTTTTAATATTTCCCAACATGGACTCCACTGCAGTAATCTCAGACTAATAGCTTTATCTCTGTGATGAAACTGTAAGTCATGAGGTGGGTGGTCATTTCTCTATTGAGACATGGACGTGCGACACGACTGCAGCAGACCGAGTCACCCAGGGGACCATAAATCATGCACCATCCAGCAGAATATTCTTTATTACCACCGAGATAGGGGGAGAAGATAGTATTGAGAGGCCATTTTTCATGCTGAGTTTATGGATTTATTTTGCTCCCACATGTCCGCTTCCTGTGCTTTAACTTTGACGTGTCTGCATCATTATCAGATTCTTTTTAAATGGAAGGATTATTATTAATGATTATAATCATTAATAATAAGACATTATTCGATTATTATTATTCTATTTTGATTGAATATAGCAAATGAGTGTAATTACCTGCTTTTAAACTCTGTCGGAGGCCAGAATCCTGTTTAACAGTTTTAATTGACACACACAAAAAAGTCGAACATGACCTTTGTAGTGTAAGAGAAGCAGGTTTATTCTTGTGCGGCAGACTTGGTTAAGGCGGAATCAAAGTACACAAGACAAGCTCGCTCTCACACATTTCTCCTTTTTTTCTCACTTGACGATGCTCTTGACACACCTTCATCTGACTACTGGGAGCAGTTGCCACAGCAACCCCAGGATCATATGACAGACAAGCCTCATCTCTGCCATCTCTTTCCTGCATCCCCTCACCCCCATACTTTGCTTTCTCCGGTTTGCAAACTGAAGTTCCAGTGGCATCCCGTAAGAAGGAGAGGAATGAACATATAATCTGTGTTAAATCAAAACTGTTAATCACCAAAGTGGCTGTACCCGCTTTAGCTTCTAGAACATTTACCTCACCTGGTCTTGTGGAAGATAATAGGAACTCTATGATGACTTACAAGGCATAGTGCATTAACTGTAAAATAAATGTTTGATGCTCAGCTGCCCTTGACCAAAGCTACGCAGCCTCAGTTTCTGCTGCAGGCCATCTGCTAACTGGACAGCAGGGTTCCACTCAGCATTACGATTGGTCTTTAGGGGTTGAGGGTTATTAAGCCTGCATCAGCAGCCTTTCAGACATGTGGGACTATTGTCACAGTGCTGCTGCCGCCCTCTCTTGTTAGCAAATGAACCAACAGTCCCATGTAGATTCAGCATTGTTCTTGCTTTATATGCACCACAGGACTTTTGATCAGCCTGGAGTTCAAGGGTCCAGTTCATGTCCAGGTGCTCTGGTTGCTTTCTGATTTTGTATTTCTTAGCTGTGTTTATTGTACAGGTGCACTCAGTTTGCTCAGCCTTTTAGTCTTGGTTGTGTTTTAGTGCTGAAGTTCATGCATGTTTCTATCTTGTGTTTAGGTTTACTTCCTTCCTTGTCTGATTGTGTTTATTCTCTAAACCTGTGTCTAAATTTAGTTTGGCCCACATGTTGGCCCCCTAATGTTGGCCCCCTAACTCAAGGAATAAACCAGTGTTATGTGTCAGTACAGGTGGGGCACTTTGCTACCCCACCTGTCACAGAAACACATCATTCGTTTCATTTCTTTACCTAACAAATTCTAAAGATAACACTGTTTGACAGGCATTAAATAGTATTTTCGTGCACCAGCAAGGTGATTCCAAAGAAGCAATTAGCTGAAAAAATCAAAACATTTCACTGTGGTGTAGGTGTTACAAACACAGTTTATTTCCAGTCTTATATTCCTCTTTGTCTTAACCACTGGGCCTTTTTATGATCAGCGATTGTTCTCACTGTCCTTCCTTTCGCCTTAAAGAGCCTCTCTTTAAAACCTTTTTCTCAAACAACATATCTCCTGTTTGTTTTGGGTTTTTTGTTGTTGTTTCTCTCGACCGTTGGTGCCTGACGTCAGCAACCTTTCGCAACACATCTCTGCTGTTCACCTTCAGTCGTCTCCAACTCCACGTCGTCTCCCTGCTGTTTCGCAGCATTCATTGCTGCTCCCCAACACCCACTCACATGTGCTCAGGCATTATGCATCTGCAACACCACATCCGCCCAGTACTTTTCCCTTACTCTAGTCTCATTTATATTCCCCCTGTCCCATCCCTTTCTTTCTCCCCCCTCCCTCCCTGCTGTTTCTTCGTTCGTGGTTTGCGCTGTCTGGGTCACTCTGAGCTGCTAAAAAAAGCTTCACCCTGCACTGGGCTCTGTGGTCTCGCTTACACAGCCCATTATTCTCAGTACAAGTGCTTGAATAAACATGCTTACACGATCACTGACATTTCTACTGTAGGCGAGTGAGTATGGACACATTTAAAAGGTGTGAAAAGGCTTGTCAAAGTAACTGATTGTCCACATGTTTGACATTTCACTAATTCTGCTGGATTATTTTCGGGCAAAAAACAAGACACAAGTCGTCTATTAACACAATCAAACAAAGGCTGTTTTCATGCAAGTCATAATTCAGGTGTATCTTTAACACAGCAAATGCACATGACTCGTACTATTAGCTCTTACATTATTCTCTGTTGAGGCAGCATTAACTGCTGCCTGTGCATGAGTGCGTGGGGATATGCTGGTGTCGTGCAGGTGTTCACAGGACACAGGAGAAAGTGGGTCATGCTTAGCTCTGACAGACTTAGTGCAGCGCTCACTCCAAGATATTTTTTCCAAAGAATTATTTACACATATTTTACTCAAAATCTGCTGTGTGAGAAGATTTTCACTAATTAATATTAATCAGACATAATGATAGGTCTCATTCGAGGACTGTGATTTCAGTGACATCAGTGGGATTGAGTTTCTATTGAAGATTGGAAATTCATCATGACTCCATCCATGCTGGCTCAGGTTACACAGGCGAAAGGCCGGCTGTCCTTTGGTTGGCGGATGCCGAAAAAGCACAGGCAGATCTGTTACCAAGCATCTGTTTCAGATGAAAGCTGTGGAGCAGTGGATCAGGTCACGATGTTCACCTAAAAGCAACACACAAAAATAGAAATTCATTAAAAGCTGTTTTTTCCCCTCCGTTAATCCAGATTTACCCTTTGACAGCTCATTAACAAAAACCTTGGTACGCAGTTCTGTTTTCAGGGGTGAACCTCGTATCTGTTTCACTGTGGTCGAGGTTTAATATTTCTGTGAATTTGTAGCGGCAGCTTTGGGAAATTTGACCTAAAATGATTTAATTTGGCAAACACTTTATATAACGCTTACTGACAACACTGCTGTTTCCAGCTGCTTATTTTGTGGTATGAACATGTTCATGCTACAACAAAATCTCTTTTAACCCATTGCCACTGTTTATACGTCATTTATTTGCTCTACTTCAATGATTAGAGGCACCACACTTCTCCACTCATGCTGTTTTTGTAGACACTCTTAAACCAATTTTAATACTGGACAGCAGATTGCCTTGCTGGACCTGTGAGGGGACATGTGACTCTCCGTGGAAGAACCTCACCAGATGGCCTCTCAAACAGGGGCCTGTCCAGCTCACAGGGTTGAGGACAAAGCTCCTGTCCCCATTTTTTTGGACAACATAATCCTTTTAAAATACCCCTGCAGCAAAGCACTCTTAACAAAAAAAAAAAAGTATTGTTGGTGCAACACAGTTGGTGCTGCAAATAATCAGGTCAAACTCACTGTGAAAAAACCCCAAATATACAGGTTTAAATGTGGCAAAAAGACATGATTTTGTTTATTTGGAGATAGGCTGGACAGAGCAAACAGTTAATGATATTGATGTAACTGTAGCTAGGCATGGATTTATATTTGAATGAGCATGAAGAAAGTGGATGGAGATGCTTTGAAACTGGAAGCTTTTCTGTTCATAATAACTGCACAACCATTTCCCGCCCTGCTGTCATTATGCCTGTAATCCTACATGTGGGAGTGCCCTACATACGTGACTCAGGGTTTTATCTCTCTGTGTTATCAATGTTAACAATGAATCCCACATAATAGGAATAATGTGGAAGATGGTGATCTCATTTTAGTAGGAGCTACAATCATGTGACCAAAACGTTTCACAGGACTCTCTGCAGTCCAGTGAAACTGAGCACATCCTGACTGCATCCACATGAATGAAGAGTGTAAGTAGCAGCTAGGTGCTGCTAAATGCATTTGATGAATTGATAATCAGCAAGTGTGAACATCATTCGACAGTATGAAAGATTAATCACAAGTGGAAAACATCTTCCCAGGAAGAGAGTAATATAGAGCTACTACAGTAACAATTAAATTAAGAATAGAAATGCAATATCATCCTGAGAACTGAAGGAAAAAAGTATCTTTCAGTTAATTTTTTTGTGATTTCCTGTCTCGTTGGAGCTAAAAGAAGCCACCGAAATGCATGAGAAATCACTGGAAAGACCTGGATTTCCTAGACTTGGTGCGTTAGCTCAAATGGACCTAAAAAATCCATTACAGAGGACATAAATGAACAGGCTGGGTTTCAGGAGGATATAATGGTTTTATATTTTGCTTGGAGTAGTATAGAAGAGTAACTAGACATGAAAATGTTTCCAGCTGAGCTGTTTCTACCACTGATACCCAAAGGTTTCTGCTATAGAGACAGTCTGTTCTTTGATTTCCTGTTTCACTGAAGATGTTAAAAGAAGCTTCTCTGCCCTCTGGTGGTGTTTCTGTGTTCAGCATGCAGCGGGCCAGCAAGTCACAGACAGACGGACATAAACGGATTTTAACCGCTGTTCACTTCTTAAAGCACAGTTTGCACTTCTAATGGCGAATAAATTGTGCTTACAATAACTAGCAGACTGAGCAGTCTAAGAAATTGCCACTGTGACATTTAACACGAGCAGTCTGAAGGAAAGAGGATACTGAAAATATCTGATTCACTCGGTTTAACAGATCAGGTTCTTGATTGGTTCTCATCATACCTAAAGGCCAGAAATGAAAGTGTGATTACGGTTTAGAAAATCAGACTATTCAAATCTTACAGATCATCCTGCAAGTTACCTCTCACTTAAAGCGTGCACTTCAATCTAAAAACTGTCTCCTCAGCTCATCACATTTCTACAACTCTGTTCTTCGAATAGGGGCAATGACCAGCTGCACCTACCGGGCTATTTCAGACACAGCACCGCAGGATGCAAATAACTTGTTTGATCCTATTATGGCAGTCA